TTTTACATTTAAAAATCCACATTCAACATTAATATATAGACGGTAACATTAATGTTATATTCTTAAGAGATTAATATTGCAAAATGCATTGTTGTATGGTTGTATACACCTGTATGGTTGCTTGAATGTTGGTGGTGTATTTATCTATCAAGGCACTGGACAGGCACCTAAATTCAACAGCCTGGTTGATCAGACCCTAATCCACCATGAGGCCTGGTCTCAGACCGATCCCCAGGGACGTTGACCCCCCAAAACCCTCTCCAGGTACCTCAAACTTCTGCTCTTCATCCTTCTCTGTATTGGACTGAGGAAGTCGCTGGCTGGCCAGAAGGTTCCGCAGTAAAGGTACCGAAGTGTTGCACAACTGTCTAATTATAATAACAGCTACAAAAATGCTATGGAACTGACAGTAGTTAAGTGCAGGCAAAGGAGTACATACTGACCTGCCTAATATAGTCAAGTAGGCCTACTGCAGTGCTATTTTCTCTTGCATTATTGAATTTTTAGGCACAAATTAAATGTCTTTAGGTGAAATAACCAAAATAGGCTTTGATGGTGATGATTTGTACTTGCAAATGTACCCAAGTGTCTCCTGACATTGGATTATCATAAACTGACCTGATCCTTCTTAAGAATCCAGTGGCATTCCTGAAGCTTCAGGGGCATGTCAGTTTCAACTATTTTCTAATAATATATTATTTCTTCCCCATAATCTACCTTGTCCATAATTACTATCGCATTTGCTTTGTCTGCTTTCGTAAGATGAAGTCCAGGATCTTTCCTTAATTCATGGTATAACTTAAGTCTTTAAGGACAATTGTGTTGTAGAGGTCTTTGCTGTTTTGACCTCTACAACACAATTCTCCTCAAAGGTTTGTTAAGTTATACCATGAATTAGGGAAAGATCCTCGACTTCACCCTACGAAAACAAACAAAGTAAATGTGATAGTAATTATGGATTTTTTTTTTTTCAACAAGTTGGCCGTCTCCCACCGAGGCAGGGTGACCCAAAAAAAAAGAAAATCCCCAAAAAGAAAATACTTTCATCATCATTCAACACTTTCACCACACTCACACATTATCACTGTTTTTGCAGAGGTGCTCAGAATACAACAGTCTAGAAGCATATACGTATAAAGATACACAACATATCCCTCCAAACTGCCAATATCCCAATCCCCTCCTTTAAAGTGCAGGCATTGTACTTCCCATTTCCAGGACTCAAGTCCGACTATATGAAAATAACCGTTTCCCTGAATCCCTTCACTAAATATTACCCTGCTCACACTCCAACAGATCGTCAGGTCCCAAGTACCATTCGTCTCCATTCACTCCTATCTAATATGCTCACACACGCTTGCTGGAAGTCCAAGCCCCTCGCCCACAAAACCTCCTTTACCCCCTCTCTCCAACCCTTTCGAGGACAACCCCTACCCCGCCTTCCTTCCCCTATAGATTTATATGCTTTCCATGTCATTCTACTTTGATCCATTCTCTCTAAATGACCAAACCACCTCAACAACCCCTCTCTGCCCTCTGACTAATACTTTTATTAACTCCACACCTTTTCCTAATTTCCACACTCCAAATTTTCTGCATAATATTTACACCACACATTGCCCTTAAACAGGACATCTCCACTGCCTCCATCCGTCTCCTCGCTGCTGCATTTACCACCCAAGCTTCACACCCATATAAGAGTGTTGGTACTACTATACTTTCATACATTCCCTTCTTTGCCTCCATAGATAACGTTTTTGACTCCACATATACCTCAACGCACCACTCACCTTTTTTCCCTCATCAATTCTATGATAAACCTCATCCTTCATAAATCCATCCGCCGACACGTCAACTCCCAAGTATCTGAAAACATTCACTTCTTCCATACTCCTCCTCACCAATTTGATATCCAATTTTTCTTTATCTAAATCATTTGATACCCTCATCACCTTACTCTTTTCTATGTTCACTTTCAACTTTCTACCTTTACACACACTCTCAAACTCATCCACTAACCTTTGCAATTTTTCTTTAGAATCTCCCATAAGCACAGTATCATCAGCAAAAAGTAACTGTGTCAATTCCCATTTTGAATTTGATTCCCCATAATTTAATCCCACCCCTCTCCCAAACACCCTAGCATTTACTTCCTTTACAACCCCATCTATAAATATATTAAACAACCATGGGGGAACATTACACATCCCTGTCTAAGACCTACTTTTACCGGGAAGTAGTCTCCCTCTCTTCTACACCCCTAACCTGAGCCTCACTATCCTCATAAAAACTCTTTACAGCATTTAGTAACTTACCACCTATTCCATAAACTTGCAACATCTGCCACATTGCTCCCTCTATCCACTCTATCATATGCCTTTTCTAAATCCATAAATGCAAAAAAAAACTTCCCAAACCTTTATCTAAATACTGTTCACTTATATGCTTCAATGTAAAACACCTGATCTACACACCCCCTCCCCCACTCTGAAGCTTCCTTGCTCATCCGCAATCCTACATTCTGTCTTAACCTCTAATTCTTTTCATATAACTCTACCGTACACTTTTCCGGGAAATACTCAGTAAACTTATTCCTCTATAATTTTTACAGTCTCTTTTGTCCCCTTTCCCTTTATATAAAGGACTACATGCTCTCCACCATCCTAGGTACCTTCCCCTCTTTCATACATTTATTTTAAAAAAAAGTACCAACCACTCCAACACTATATCCCCCCCTGCTTTTAACATTTCGTCATGATCCCATCAGTTCCAGCTGCTTTACCCCCTTTCATTCTACGTAATGCCTCACGTACCTCCACCACACTTTTCATTCTGCTCTTCTTCACCCTAAAAGATGGTATACCTCCCTGGCCAGTGCAGAAAATTTCCGCCTCCCTTTCTTCCTTAACATTTAAAAAATTCCTCAAAATATTCTCGCCATCTACCCAATACCTCCATCTCCCCATCTACTAACTCCACTCTGTTTTTAAAATGACAAATCCATACGTTCCCCAGGCTTTCTTACTTGTTTATCTCCAAAATTTTTTCTTATCTCAGCAAATTTCTTGACAGTGCCTCTCCCACTCTATCATCTGCTCTCCTTTTGCACTCTCTCACCACTCTCTTCACCTTTCTTTTTACTCTCCATATACTCTACTCTTCTTATAACACTTCTGCTTTGTAAAAACCTCTCGTAAGCTACCTTTTTCTCTTTTATCACCCCCTTTTACTTCTTTCATTCCACCAATCACTCCTCTTTCCCCTGCCCCCACCCTCCTATAACCACAACTTCTGCCCCACATTCTAATACGCATTTTTAAAACTATTCCAACCCTCTTCAACCCCCCCACTACTCATTTTTGCACTACCCCCACCTTTCTGCCAATAGTCGCTTATATCTCCCCGAACTTCCTCCTCCCTTATTTTTATACACTTTCACTTCCCTCTTACTTGTTGTTGCCCCCTTTCCCTTTTTTCCCATCTACCTCTTACTCTAACTGTAGCTACAACTAAATAATGATCTGATATATCAGTTCCCCCTCTTAAACTGTACATCCTGAGCCTACCCATCAACCTTTTATCCACCAATACATAATCTAACAAACTACTTTCATTACTTTGTTACATCATCCCTTGTTATTTATTATCCTCTTTTTCATAAAATATGTATTACTTATTACCAAATCTCTTTCTACACATAGCTAAATTTAAAAAGGCCCCCCATTTACATTTACCCCTGGCACCCCAAATTTACCTACTACTCCTTCCGTAACATTTTACCCACTTTAGCATTAAAACCCCCAACCACCATTACTCTCACACTTAAATTCAAAACTCCCCACGCATTCACTCAACATTTCCCAGAATCTCTCTCTCTCCTCAAACACTTCTCTCTTCTCCAGGTGCATACACCTTACATAACCCACTTTTCACATCCAATCTTTTATTTTAACTCCACATAATCCTTGAATTAATACATTTATAGTCCCTTCTTTTCTGCCATAGCTTATCCTTCAACATTATTGCTACCCCTTCTTTAGCTCAAACCCTCTATTTGAAACCCCTGACCTAATCCTTTATTCCTCTCCATTGAAACTCTCCCACCCCCTTCAGCTTTGTTTACTTAAAGCCAGGACATCCAGCTTCTTCTCATTCATAACATCCACAATCATCTTCTTTCTTATCATTTGCACAACATCCACGCACATTCAACTTCCCACTTTGACAATTTCTTCTTATTCTTTTTAGTAATCTTTACGGGAAAAAGGGTGTTACTAGCCCATTGTTCCCGGCATTTAGTTGACTTTTACAACACCATGCTCACGGAGGAAGATTCTTATTCCACTTCCCCCTGGATATAAAAGGAAAGTAATAAGACCAAGAACTATTAAGATAAAAATCAAAGAAAACTCAGATGAGTGTGTATAAATAAATTGTACATGAATGTGTAGTGTGACCTAAGTGTAAGTAGAAGTAGCAAGACATCCTGTAAAACTTGCATATTTAAGAGACAGACAAAAAACACCAGCAATCCTACCATCCTGTGAAACAATTACAGGCTTTCGTTTTAACACCACTTGGCAGGAGGTAGTACCCCCTGGGTGGTTGCTGGGCTACCAACTACAAACCCCAGGATGGTAGTACCTCCCTGGGTGGTTGCTGTCTACCAACCTACTACCACAGGACAGTAGTACCTCCCTGGGTGGTTGTTGTCTACCAACCTACTACCACAGGACGGTAGTACCTCCCTGGGTGGTTGCTGTCTTTCCAACCTACTACCACAGGACGGGATACTCCTGGGTTGGTTGTTGTCTACCACCTACTACAACAAGGACGTAGTACCTCCCTGGGTTGGTTGTTGTCTACCAACCTACTTAACACAGGACGGAGTACCTCCCTGGTGGTTCTGTCTACCAACTTACTACCACAGGACAGTTTGTACCTCCTGGGTGGTTTGTCTAAACCAACCTACTACCCCAGGATTTGGGTTTCCTCCCATGGTGGTTGCTGTCTACCAACCTACTACCTACAGTAATTATGGATAAAGTAGATTATAAAGGAAAAATAAACATGATATTAGGAAACAAGAGAACCTCACACATCTCGTAACTTTGTCTTGTATTGTAATCAACAAGGGATTCCCACCGTGCAGTATACCTGAACAGTATGGAAATAAATGCTCCTAAGTGCTATACTACTGATGTTCAAAGCTTTTTTGTTAGGTTTCTGTATGGTACAGATGTTAATAGGCCTCCCATAACAACACACCAGCCAGGAATGGTAACCTTGAGATCACATGTGTTTTTTACTTAAGGGAAAAACGATTGTAACCAGATATAAACATGTAAATAGTTAATTGCCATTGTAACTTGTCCAACTATCAAGACTTTGCGGCCCAGTCCTTGGACCCATTGTGTATCTCTGTAATGTTGAGGTACAGTCCCTGGACCCATTGTGTACCTCTGTAATTTTTTGACTACTGGAAGGGTGTGAGGTGCACAACAGATGTTTAACTAAAACTTGTTCTATTTTGACTGTGTGAAAGAAATTTGCAAGTGAATCTAATGTTTGAGTCAGTCCTGGTTGATTCTTGTGATATGTGGAGCATGTAAGGATATAAGTTGGGAGGGGTTTAGGGATGTATTATTCATGTATAACAAGTATACATAACTGATGTATCACCAGGTACCTCTGTACTGTTTGCTTTCATACATGAGCAATATTTATTTCATGTTCAGTCACTGCTTAAGTATCAGTATAAAATCTCTCTCTCTCTCTCTTTCACACATACACACACTCATACTGCACCTTCAGTACAGTCATTCTTCCTAGATAACACCACACGTATGCTAAAAACTAACCCACATAGAGACTGAAACGCAGGAGGTTGATTGATCTGTATATTTCGACCCTCTTGTGGGATCCTTTCAGCTGAAGAGAACCCCAGGAGGAGGTCGAAACATACAGATTAATCTCTAAGTTTGTGTCTCCATGTGAGTTATTATTGAGCACTGACAAGTGATAATTATACTCTAGTTATTCAGCACACATATCTTTTAACAGTTCTGTATGTTGATACAAATATCACAATAATGGAGGTTGGTTGGCTGTCTAACACGACAACAATGATAATGGAATGTTTGAAGTTGCAATTGCTATCCTGGTAAGCTCTTATCCTACCCTAACAACTGACTACCTACCTTATGTGTATTATTTTTCTTAGAAGATAATACACATAACGATTCTCACAGTCGGGCTTACGGGGACACTGGCAGGAACTATGTGGTTCCTCAGGTGTCGCCTGTTTGCTACTACTTAGGAGTAGCAGGGACGCAAGTGTGACTTGAGTGTGTCTTAGCACTGACTACTGTTTACGGCTTAAAGTACATACCTGACTTCTGTGACTTGAGTATGTCACAGTACACTGGATTCTACCTACTACTGAGTACAGACCTGACTTGTGGCTCACTACTGGAGTATGTCACAACCCTGGAGTCTACCCACTACTGAGTACAAACTTGACTTGTGGCCCATCTCTGGAGCTCCCACTAACTCAAGTCTGACTCGATTATGTCACAACATCACTGAATTGTACCCACTACTGAGTACAGACCTGACTTGTGGCCCACCACTGGAGTACACCACAACACTGGATACTACCCACTACTGAGTACAGACTTGACTTGTGGCCCACCACTAGAGTACATCACAACACTGGATAATACCCACTACTGAGTACAGACTTGACTTGTGCCCCACCTGTGGAGCCACCACTATCTCAAGCCTGACACGGGATAGCGAGATCCATGAGTAGTGGAAAAACCGTCAGAGTGGCCACACGCTCAGACGATAATATCGTGGATCCATCTGAGGAACTTAGTAATTTTTGTATACATCCCTGGCTGGCCACGGCGTCCACATCCCTTACCCCAGGAGGTGATGCCGTACAGAACGTGCCTTCCATTGACCTTACAGGTCAGAGGGCCACCGGAATCTCCTGTGCAGGTGTCAATACGACCGTCGAGATTCCCAGCACACACCATGCCAGAGGTGACCTCAAACATGCCATATTTGTTCTGTCCAATGCAGGAGGGCATGTCGTAGACTTGAACCTGTCCTGTACGTGGTAGATCCTGTCAGGAAGATGAACAAATAGGAAGCTGAAGTCGATTGGATGAGGCGTTCTCTAGTTATAAATGATTATGTATATGGAAAATTTCAGGGCACCATTTAAAGGTGCCTCTTCAGGGATACCTGATAAAGATATAAGAACATTAAGGTCATGGGACCTTGTTCACTATAACACCATAATCACAAACAAGCAATAAAAAAATGCATAACAATCATATGAGTGGAGTTGAATGATAGCTCCAGGCCTTTTGTGTTGCAATCAACACATCATCAGGAGCTTGCAAGGTAGCAGAAATAAAGAAATCTCTGATTACCTGGGGTACGGGAGGTGCTCTCTCTGACGTAGTGCCCCAGCCGGTTATACTACAGTCTGTTAGACCATTATAGGTGGCCTCCTCGCTGGGTAGACAGGCTGGCTGCACACTCTGTCCAAACCTGTGGTAATGAATGATGGTAGGTGAAACGGAGTTTGAGGGGATCAATCCCTCAGTTGAGAGTCAACTCCAGACTGAGGGACTGATTCCCTTAGGCTCCAGAGAGGGACTGATTCCCTTAGGCTCCAGAGAGGGACTGATCCCCTTAGGCTCCAGATTGAGGGACTGATCCCCTTAGGCTCCAGATTGAGGGACTGATCCCCTTAGGCTCCAGATTGAGGGACTGATCCCCTTAGGCTCCAGATTGAGGGACTGATCCCCTTAGGCTCCAGATTGAGGGACTGATCCCCTTAGGCTCCAGATTGAGGGACTGATCCCCTTAGGCTCCAGAGAGGGACTGATCCCCTTAGGCTCCAGATTGAGGGACTGATCCCCTCAAACCTGTCATGGTGAATGACACTATTATATATATTAATTAAATATAACAGAAATTGGACATTAAAAATAATAAGTAATAGTAGTAGGGGTAGTAGTAGCAACAGTAGTAGTAGCAACAGTAGTAGTAGTAGCAACAGTAGTAGTAGTAGCAACAGTAGTAGTAGTAGCAACAGTAGTAGTAGTAGCAACAGTAGTAGTAGTAGCAACAGTAGTAGTAGTAGCAACAGTAGTAGTAGTAGCAACAGTAGTAGTAGTAGCAACAGTAGTAGTAGTAGCAACAGTAGTAGTAGTAGCAACAGTAGTAGTAGTAGCAACAGTAGTAGTAGTAGCAACAATAGTAGTAGTAGCAACAGTAGTAGTAGCAACAATAGTAGTAGTAGCAACAGTAGTAGCAGTAGCAGCAATAGCAGTCATAACAGTAGCAGAATTAATTCAACAAAGAGGATAATTAACTACCTGATACCACGACCATTCTTCCTGGCCACCTTGAGGACAGCAAGATCATTGTTGAACTCCACCGTGGTGTCAAAATCCTCGTGCATCCACAGCTTCTCTATCTGGAAATCCTGTTGACATGGTCCATAGATTACAAAGGGTGTTGGTACGTGTGAGAGAGGTTAGTGTAAGGGAGGGGTAATAGGGTGTAGAATTGGGTATATTATTGATAGAACCTCTTGGTACTCATTCCTGATGACTATATTCCTCCCTCATACACAATTCCTCTCTGATCTCCCTCATTATATCCTGATTACCCTCCCTGGTGTTCAAGGAGTAATCCCCCACACTAACTACTATGGTACCTACCTCCTGATCATTCTCCCTGGTGATCAGGGAGTAATCTCCCACACTAACAACTGTGGTACCTACCTCCTGATCATTCTCCCTGGTGTTCAGGGAGTAATCTCCCACCCTGACAACATAACTATGTCTTCCGTGGACTTTAAAGCAATGGGCAGCTGTCAGTACGTAGTCTTCTGCTATCACAACACCTCCACAATTATGCTTCAGTTTACCCTGAAATACAGAGACAGAGAGACAGATATATACAGAGACATACAGAGATATACAGAGATAGACAGTCTGTTAGGCATTGTATAGTATTTTAATAGCCGGAAAGAGGTAGATCCATAAGGGACATGCAGAAATCTGCTTAAATATTAAACTCTATCATACGGTTGTATTGTATATCTATCAGTGTATATACACTGATAGATATACATCTCTCAGCATATACACTGATTTGTGGAATTTTTTCTATAATCATGAAATTAGTGCATAAAAATTGAAGAATATAATAGTGTTTATTTAATGCAGTGTTGGTGTGACTTTCAGAAGAATTTCAAGTGACGGAAGAACCAACACACCAGTTGGAAGGTGACGTAAAATGGCGGAAGGTGAACGTGTAATGGTAAGTGTTACCAAATTTAATTGGGTGTAATCGTTGCTGATGAATAGTGAATCGGCAATAATTCGGGACCGTCAAATGAGTGAAATGTCGTGGGTATCTGTAAGTGTTGAGATCCATATTAATTCGGCCATAATTGGGTTGATAAGTAGGATAATACGGGAGGCGGTGACTGGACGACATTTATCATCACCTGCCTCTGGTGTATGGTAAATATGTTCTGTATTTATGTATACACTCTTAATGTTCTGCTTTATAAGATTTTGTTAGGATTTTTAACCCAGGAAGGTTAGCCACTCCGGATAACCCGAGAAGTCAGCACGTCAGCGTCATCGAGGACTGTCTGTCTTATTTCCGTTGTCCCCCAGGATGCCACCAAAACCAATCACCTAACACTCGGGTACCTACTTGCTGCCAGGTGAACAGTCACAACAGGTGTAAGGAAACACGCCCAATGTTTCCACCCGTGCCGGGGATCGAACCCGGACCCTAAGCATGGGAAGCCAGAACTTTGCCTACCAGGTCACATATAACAAATCGTCGACCAACAAACCTCGTAATATCATAATTCTAGAACCATATACAGTGGACCCCCGCATAACGATTACCTCCGAATGTGACCAATTATGTAAGTGTATTTATGTAAGTACGTTTGTACGTGTATGTTTGGGGGTGTGAAATGGACTAATCTACTTCACAATATTCCTTATGGGAACAAATTCTGGCACCTGAACATACTTCTGGAATGAAAATATATCGTTAACCGGGGGTCCACTGTATTCCTAATTTTAAGGTCCATATTGTGTGAGTGAGGGAAGGTGGGCATCGAAGGAGGGGCCGGAGCTGTGACTCGACCCCTGTCTCCCAGGTATAACTAGCATCAGTGTAATATCTGTTTCGAGCTGTGCTGGTAGTTTCTCCCAGGTGTGTGGGAGTAATTATACAGAATTGTAACTGTAAATTTCACATAATTTCTCTGATATATACACACTTCTGAGTGTATATACAGAGATATATACACTCTCAGTACTTATACACTGAGAAATACACACTTGTGAGTGTATATACAGAGATATATACACATCTCAGTACTTATACACTGAGAAATACACACTTGTGAGTGTATATACACCAAGACCTATAGTATAGCAGATGGAAGGTATCCCTTACCTCCTCTCGTAGTTGCAGGGATACCAGCCAGGGTTGTTCCAAGGGTTGTTGAGTACTTCCTCCAATGATCTTGGCGAAGTTGTCTATAAGGAAACTGGAGGACGAGTCTGGCCTCTGACCACAGCCGTCTGGGAGGGCTGTTTGTAGGCCTATGTTGATCCTTCCACGTCTGTGAGGGTGGTATTAGTGGTAGTTAGTGTACTGTGGTGTGGTGGTACACTGTACCATGTCTGTGAGGGTGGTATTAGTGGTAGTTAGTGTACTGTGGTGTGGTGGTACACTGTACCACGTCTGTGAGGGTGGTATTAGTGGTAGTTACTATACTGTGGTGTGGTGGTACACTGTACCATGTCTGTGAGGGTGGTATTAGTGGTAGTTACTATACTGTGGTGTGGTGGTACACTGTACCATGTCTGTGAGGGTGGTATTAGTGGTATTTAGTGTACTGGGGTGTGGTGGTTACACTGTACCATGTCTGTGGGGTGGTATTAGTGGTAGTTACTATACTGGGGTTTTGGTGGTTACCTGTACCATGTCTGTGAGGGTGGTATTAGTGGTAGTTAGTGTACTGTGGTGTGGTGGTACACTGTACCATGTCTGTGAGGGTGGTATTAGTGGTAGTTACTATACTGTGGTGTGGTGGTACACTGTACCATGTCTGTGAGGGTGGTATTAGTGGTAGTTAGTGTACTGTGGTGTGGTGGTACACTGTACCATGTCTGTGAGGGTGGTATTAGTGGTAGTTAGTGTACTGTGGTGGGGTGGAAACTGTACCATGTCTGTGAGGGTGGTATTAGGGGTAGTTACTATACTGTGGTGTGGTGGTACACTGTACCATGTCTGTGAGGGTGGTATTAGTGGTAGTTAGTGTACGGGTTGTGGTGGTACACTGTACCATGTCGTGAGGTGGTATTAGTGGTAGTTAGTGTTACGGGGGTGTGGTGGTACACTGTACCATGTCTGTGCGGGTGGTATTAGTGGTAGTTACTATACAGTGGTGTGGTGGTACACTGTACCATGTCTGTGAGGGTGGTATTAGTGGTAGTTAGTGTACTGTGGTGTGGTGGTACACTGTACCACGTCTGTGAGGGGTATTAGTGGTAGTTAGTGTACTGGGGGTGTGGTGGTACACTGTCCCATGTCTGTGAGGGGGGTTTATTAGTGGTATTTTAGTGTACTGTGGTGTGGTGGTACATTTTACCACGTCTGTGAGGTGGTATTAGTGGTAGTTAGTGTACTGTGGTGTGGTGGTACACTTTTACCATGTCTGTGAGGGTGGAATTAGTGGTATTTTAGTGTACTGTGGTGTGGTGGTACACTGTACCATGTTGTGAGGGTGGTATTAGTGGTAGTTAGTGTACTGTGGGGTGGTGGTACACTGTACCATGTCTGTGAGGGTGGTATTAGTGGTAGTTAGTGTACTGTGGTGTAGTGGTACACTGTACCATGTCTGTGAGGGTGGTATTTAGTGGTAGTTAGTGTACTTGGGGTGTGGTTACACTGTACCATGTCTGTGAGGGTGGTATTAGTGGTAGTTAGTGTACTGTGGTGTGGTGGTACACTGTACCATGTCTGTGAGGGTGGTATTAGTGGTAGTTAGTGTACTGTGGTGTGGTGGTACACTGTACCATGTCTGTGAGGGTGGTATTAGTGGTAGTTAGTGTACTGTGGTGTGGTGGTACACTGTACCATGTCTGTGAGGGTGGTATTAGTGGTAGTTAGTGTACTGTGGTGTGGTGGTACACTTTTACCATGTCTGTGAGGGTGGTATTAGTGGTAGTTAGTGTACTGTGGTGTGGTGGTACACTGTACCATGTCTGTGAGGGTGGTATTAGTGGTAGTTAGTGTACTGTGGTGTGGTGGTACACTGTACCATGTCTGTGAGGGTGGTATTAGTGGTAGTTACTATACTGTGGTGTGGTGGTACACTGTACCATGTCTGTGAGGGGTATTAGTGGTAGTTAGTGTACTGTGGTGTAGTGGTACACTGTACCATGTCTGTGAGGGTGGTATTAGTGGTAGTTACTATACTGTGGTGTGGTGGTACACTGTACCATGTCTGTGAGGGTGGTATTAGGGGTAGTTTACTATACTGTGGTGTGGTGGTACACTGTCCATGTCTGTGAGGTGGTATTAGTGGTATTAGTGTCTGTGGTGTAGTGGTACACTGTACCATGTCTGAAAGGGGTGGTATTAGTGGTAGTTACTATACTGTGGTGTGGTGGTACACTGTACCACGTCTGTGGGGGTGGTATTAGTGGAAAGTGTACTGTGGTGTGGGGGTACACTGTACCATTCTGTGGGGTGGTATTAGTGGTAGTGTACTTTTGGTGTGGTGGTACACTGTACCATGTCTGTGAGGGTGGTATAGTGGTAGTTAGTGTACTGTGGTGTGGTGGTTAACACTGTTACCAGGGTCTGTGAGGGGGGTATTATGGTAGTGTACTGTGGTGGGGTGGGTCCACTGTACCATGTCTGTGAGGGTGGTATTAGTGGTAGTTAGTTTTCCTGTGGTGTGGTGGTACACTGTACCATGTCTGTGGGGGTTGTATTAGTGGTAGTTAGTGTACTGTGGTGTGGTGGTACAACTGTACCATGTCTGTGAGGTGGTATTAGTGGTAGTTAGTGTACTGTGGGTGGTGGTACACTGTACCCATGTCTGTGAGGGTGGTATTAGTGGTAGTTAGTGTATGTGGTGTGGTGGTACACTGTACCATGTCTGTGAGGGGGGTATTAGTGTATTTAAGTGTACTGTGGTGTGGGGGTAACTGTCCCATGTCTGTGAGGGTGGTATTAGTGGTAGTTCTATACAGTGGTGTGGTGGTACACTGTACCATGTCTGTGAGGGTGGTATTGTGGTAGTTAGTGTACTGTGGTGTGGGTGGTACACTGAAACACGTCTGTGAGGGTGGTATTAGTGGTAGTTAGTGTACTGTGGTGTGGTGGTACACGTACCATGTCTGTGAGGGTGGTATTAGGGGTAGTTAGTGAAACTGTGGTGTGGTGGTACATTGTACCACGTCTGTGAGGGTGGTATTAGTGGTATTAGTGTACGTGGTGTGGTGGTACACTGACCATGTCTGTGAGGGTTTGGTATTAGTGGTAGTTAGTGTACTGTGGTGTGGTGGTACACTGTACCATGTCTGTGAGGGGGTTTATTAGGTAGTTAGTGTACAGTGGTGTGGTGGTACACTGTACCATGTCTGTGAGGGTGGTATTAGTGGTAGTTAGTGTACTGTGGTGTAGTGGTACACTGTACCATGTCTTGAGGGTGGTATTAGTGGTAGTTAGTGTACTGGGTGTGGTGGTACACTGTACCATGTCTGTGAGGGTGGTATTAGTGGAAGTTAGTGTACTGTGGTGTGGTGGTACACTTACCATGTCTGTGAGGGTGGAAATTAGTGGTAGTTAGTGTCTGTGGTGTGGTGGAACACTGTACCATGTCTGTGGGGGTGGTATTAGTGGTAGTTAGTGTACTGTGGTGTTGGTGGTACACTGTACCATGTCTGTGAGGGTGGTATTAGTGGTTTAGTGTACTGTGGTGTGGTGGTACCCCTTTTACCATGTCTGTGAGGGTGGTATTAGTGGTAGTTAGTGTACTGTGGTGTGGTGGTACCCTGTACCATGTCTGTGGGGGTGGTATTAGTGGTATTTTACTATACGTGGTGTGGGGGTACACTGTACCATGTTTTGTGAGGGTGGTATTAGTGGTAGTTAGGTACTGTGGTGTAGTGGTACACTGTACCATGTCTTTGAGGGTGGTATTAGTGGTAGTTACTATACTGTGGTGTGGTGGTACACTGTACCATGTCTGTGAGGGTGGTATTAGTGGTAGTTACTATACTGGGGTTGTGGTGGTACACTGTACCATGCCCTTGTGGGTGGTATTAGTGGTAGTTAGTGTACTGTGGTGTAGTGGTACACTGTACCATGTCTGTGAGGGTGGTATTAGTGGTAGTTACTATACTGTGGTGTGGTGGTACACTGTACCATGTCTGTGAGGGTGGTATTAGTGGTAGTGTACTGTGGTGTGGTGGTACACTGTACCATGTCTGTGAGGGTGGTATTAGTGGTAGTGTACTGTGGTGTGGTGGTACACTGTACCATGTCTGTGAGGGTGGTATTAGTGGTAGTTAGTGTACTGTGGTGTGGTGGTACACTGTACCATGTCTGTGAGGGTGGTATTAGTGGTAGTGTACTGTGGTGTGGTGGTCCACTGTACCATGTCTGTGAGGGTGGTATTAGTGGTAGTTAGTGTACTGTGGTGTGGTGGTACACTGTACCATGTCTGTGAGGGTGGTATTAGTGGTAGTTAGTGTACTGTGGTGTGGTGGTACACTGTACCATGTCTGTGAGGGTGGTATTAGTGGTAGTTAGTGTACTGTGGTGTGGTGGTACACTGTACCATGTCTGTGAGGGTGGTATTAGTGGTAGTTAGTGTACTGTGGTGTGGTGGTACACTGTACCATGTCTGTGAGGGTGGTATTAGTGGTAGTTACTATACTGTGTGTGGTGGTACCTTTTACCATGTCTGTGGGGGTTTGGTATTAGTGGAGTTTAGTGTACTGGGTGTGGTAGTACATTGTCCCACGTCCTGTGGGGTGGTATTAGTGGTAGTTATTACTGTGGTGTGGTGGTACACTGAAACCACGTCTGTGAGGGGGTATTAGTGGAGTTAGTGTACTGTGGTTGTGGGGTTTACACTGAACCACGTCTTGAGGGTGGTATTAGTGGTAGTTATTGACTGTGGTTTGGTGGTACACTGTACCATGTCTGTGGGGTGGTATTAGTGGTAGTTAGTGTACTGTGGTGTGGTGGTACACTACCATGTCTGTGAGGGTGGTATTAGTGGTAGTTAGTGTACTGTGGTGTGGTGGTACACTGTACCATGTCTGTGAGGGTGGTATTAGTGGTAGTTAGTGTACTGTGGTGTGGTGGTACACTGTACCACGTCTGTGAGGGTGGTATTAGTGGTAGTTAGTGTACTGTGGTGTGGTGGTACACTGTACCATGTCTGTGAGGGTGGTATTAGTGGTAGTTAGTGTACTGTGGTGTAGGTACACTGTACCATGTCGTGAGGTGGTAAAAGTGGTAGTTTAGTGTACTGTGGTGTGGTGGTACACTGTACCATGTCTGTGAGGGTGGTATTAGTGGTAGTTAGTGTACTGTGGTGTGGTGGTACACTGTACCATGTCTGTGAGGGTGGTATTAGTGGTAGTTAGTGTACTGTGGTGTGGTGGTACACTGTAACCATGTCTGTGAGGGTGGTATTAGTGGTAGTTAGTGTACTGTGGGTGTGGTGGTACACTTCCCAAAGTCTGTGAGGGTGGGTTTAGTGGTAGTTAGTGTACTGTGGTGTGGTGGTACACTGTACCATGTCTGTGAGGGGTGGGTATTAGTGGTAGTTACTATACTGTGGTTTGTGGGGGTTTACACTTACCATGTCTGTGAGGTGGTATTAGTGGTAGTGTACTGTGGTGGTGGTACACTGTACCATGTCTTGAGGGTGGTATTAGTGGTAGTTAGTGTACTGTGGTGTGGTGTGGTACACTGTACCATGTCGTGAGGGTGGTATTAGTGGTATTTAGTGTACTGTGGTGTGGTGGTACACTTTTCCCATGTCTGGAGGGGTGGAATTAGTGGTAGTTAGTGTACTGTGGTGTGGTGGTACACTGTACCACGTCTGTGAGGTGGTATTAGTGGTGGGTATTGTACTGTGGTGTGGGTGTACACTGTACCATGTCTGTGAGGGTGTTTTAGTGGTAGTTAGTGTACTTGGTGGGTGGTACACTGTACCATGTCTGTGAGGGTGGTATTAGTGGTAGTTGTGTACTGTGGTGTGGTGGTACACTGTACCATGTCTTGAGGGTGGTATTAGTGGAAAGTTACTATACGTGGTGTGGGGGTTTCACTTTTACCATGTCTGTGAGGGTGGTATTAGTGGTAGTTAGTGTACTGTGGTGTGGGGGTTTACACTGTACCATGTCTGTGAGGGGGGGTTTTAGTGGTAGTTTACTATACTGTGGTGTTGGTGGTACACTGTTACCCATGCCCTGTGAGGGTGGTATTAGGGGTAGTTATTTTAACTGTGGTGTGGTGGTACACTGTACCATGTCTGTGAGGGTGGTTTTAGTGGTAGTTAGTGTTACTTGTGTGGGGTAGTACATTGTCCCACGCTGTGAGGGTGGTATTAGTGGTAGTTAGTGTACTGTGGTGTTGGTGGTACACTGTACCACGTCTGTGAGGGTGGTATTAGTGGTAGTTAGTGTACTGTGGTGTGGTGGTACACTGTACCACGTCTGTGAGGGTGGTATTAGTGGTAGTTAGTGTACTGTGGTGTGGTGGTACACTGTACCATGTCTGTGAGGGTGGTATTAGTGGTAGTTAGTGTACTGTGGTGTGGTGGTACACTACCATGTCTGTGAGGGTGGTATTAGTGGTAGTTTGTGTACTGTGGTGTGGTGGTACACTGTACCATGTCTGTGAGGGTGGTATTAGTGGTAGTTAGTGTACTGTGGTGTGGTGGTACACTGTACCACGTCTGTGAGGGTGGTATTAGTGGTAGTTAGTGTACTGTGGTGTGGTGGTACACTGTACCATGTCTGTGAGGGTGGTATTAGTGGTAGATACTATACTGTGGTGGGGTGGTACACTGTCCCCATGTCTGTGAGGGTGGTATTAGTGGTAGTTAGTGTACTGTGGTGTGGTGGTACACTGTACCATGTCTGTGAGGGTGGTATTAGTGGTAGTTTGTGTAGTGTGGTGTGGTGGTACACTGTACCACGTCTGTGAGGGTGGTATTAGTAGTAGTTACTGTACCGTGAGTGGTGGTACATTGTACCACGTCTGTAAGGGTGGTATTAGTGGCAATTACTGTACCGTGAGTGGTGGTACATTGTACCACGCCTGTGAGGAAGTGTGAGTGGTTGTTAATGGTCGTTATTGTATCATGGGTGCCACGGTACACTGTACCACGTCTATAAGACACCACAAGCTCCTGTTAATGCAACATACCATACCGTGGGTGGTACCAGGGTACACTGTACCTACCTAACAGAGTAACAAGTCACAGCAGCGTCCTCAGAGTGAGTGCAGTCTGAGGCTCCTGGCTGGGACTTCTTACAGAGTCGTAAATCGGACTCTGTACCCAAACAGTCCATTGAGTCCAGCCAGACTGGTCCTGTACCTTGTCCGTACCGTCCTTGTTTGTGTGCTACAGCATCACCATGGTACCCCAGCATACCACATACAACCTGTATGGTGAGAGTCTGTATTAGTGGTGTGTATAATTGTGAGTGTTATACAAACACCAGTGTTATACAGTGTTATACAAACACCAGTGTTATACAAACACCAGTGTTATACAGTGTTATACAAACACCAGTGTTATACAGTGTTATACAGTGTTATACAAACACCAGTGTTATACAGTGTTATACAAACACCAGTGTTATACAGTGTTATACAGTGTTATACAAACACCAGTGTTATACAGTGTTATACAAACACCAGTGTTATACAGTGTTATACAGTGTTATACAAACACCAGTGTTATACAAACAACAGTGTTAAACAGTGTTATACAAACAACAGTGTTAAACAGTGTTATACAAACAACAGTAACTAACCTTTGCTTCATAGTCATCAAAGTCATCATCACAGATGGTGCCCCACTGGCCCGAGAGCTTGACCTCAACCCTGCCGGAGTTAGCTGTTGGTCCGTTGCTCAGTCGCACCTCCATCTGTTGTACAACAGTGATGATTATAGGCGAGAGTTAACAGTGATAACAGTTATATTGCTCTCTTAATTTATTGAGATCACTAACCTTGTTATAACAAGGTTAGTGTTATAACAGTAACCTTGTTATAACGCTAACCTCGTCAGAGCATTAACCTTGTTATAAGAGTAACCTTGATATAATACTCAGGTGGTCGGAACACAAACCTTGTTATAAGGGTAACTTGATATAACACTAAACTCGTCAGAACACTAACCTTGTTATAACAAGGTTAGTGTTATAACAGTAACCTTGTTATAACGCTAACCTCGTCAGAGCATTAACCTTGTTATAAGAGTAACCTTGATATAATACTCAGGTGGTCGGAACACAAACCTTGTTATAAGGGTAACTTGATATAACACTAACCTCGTCAGAACACTAACCTTGTTATAAGAGTGACCTTGATATAACACTAACCTCGTCAGAACAGAGCACACCAACGTCTTCAGCGTGGTCGCAGTCAGTAAGACCCCAGACAACACCAAGGCACTCACCCAGCCACGACTCTCCTCCCTGGGATCAACACCACAACATATATTAGTGCTCCACTCACAGGGACCTCTAGCATAGGCCAATAGGCCTACTGCTTGAATATAAGAGTGATCTGTCTAGCATAGGCCAGTAGACCTACTGGTTGAATGTAAGTGGGATCTGTCTAGCATAGGCCAGTTGATCTACTGGTTGAATGTAAGTGGGATCTGTCTAGCATAGGCCAGTTGATCTACTGGTTGAATGTAAGTGGGATCTGTCTAGCATAGGCCAGTAGACCTACTGGTTGAATGTAAGTGGGATCTGTCTAGCATAGGCCAGTAGACCTACTGGTTGAATGTAAGTGGGATCTGTCTAGCATAGGCCAGTAGATCTACTGGTTGAATGTAAGTGGGATCTGTCTAGCATAGGCCAGTAGACCTACTGGTTGAATGTAAGTGGGATCTGTCTAGCATAGGCCAGTAGATCTACTGGTTGAATGTAAGTGGGATCTGTCTAGCATAGGCCAGTAGACCTACTGGTTGAATGTAAGTGGGATCTGTCTAGCATAGGCCAGTAGATCTACTGGTTGAATGTAAGTGGGATCTGTCTAGCATAGGCCAGTAGATCTACTGGTTGAATGTAAGTGGGATCTGTCTAGCATAGGCCAGTAGACCTACTGGTTGAATGTAAGTGGGATCTGTCTAGCATAGGCCAGTAGACCTATTGGTTGAATGTAAGTGGGATCTGTCTAGCATAGGCCAGTAGATCTACTGGTTGAATGTAAGTGGGATCTGTTTAGCATAGGCCAGTAGACCTACTGGTTGAATGTAAGTGGGATCTGTCTAGCATAGGCCAGTAGACCTATTGGTTGAATGTAAGTGGGATCTGTCTAGCATAGGCCAGTAGACCTACTGGTTGAATGTAAGTGGGATCTGTCTAGCATAGGCCAGTAGGCCTACTGGTTGAATTTTAGTAAAGAGACAAGACATACTTTGCAGCCAGGTTCGTCCAGTATAATGTCACCAGTACCACGACCAAAGAATGCCCGAGGGTAGGGCACTGCCCAGCCACTCTCGTACCCCAGACTACGACACACTACCTGCAAGAACAATATTGTGTGAATTAGACCCAGGTAGATCTGTTTGCGACTACCTTTCGGTGGGCGAAAGGTAGTAAGTAAGGATCGTATTATACTGCATTTGTATCAGTTTTCCCCCTCATCTTGCATCCTCCTGTGTTTTGCACCAGGGGTCACTATATTCGGGGCCAGGAGCTATGAATCGACCCCTGCAACCACAATTAGGTGAGTACACAAACACACACTCACCTTAGCATGGGTCTCATCAAAACCATCATCACAAACCGTCCCCCAGCGACCAAAGTGTTTAATGTAAACAGTACCAGCAGTTGTACCAGTAAGGTGACTACTAGTGGTAATTAAGCGAGTTACCCCTACGTCGTCACACAAACTTGGTGCCTCGTCACTGTGGACACATACAAGGGTAACTATAAGAAATATAATTGTAGACTCAAGGGTAACTATAAGAAATATAACTGTAAATACAAAGACAAGGGTAACTATAAGAAATATAACTGTAAATACAAAGACAAGGGTAACTATAAGAAATATGATTGTAAACTCAAGGGTAACTGTAAGAAATATAACTGTAAATACAAAGACAAGGGTAACTATAAGAAATATGATTGTAAACTCAAGGGTAACTGTAAGAAATATAACTAAATACAAAGACAAGGGTAACTATAAGAAATATGATTGTAAACTCAAGGGTAACTGTAAGAAAGACTATAATTTAAATACAAAGACAAGGGTAACTATAAGAAATATATTGTAACTCAAGGTAACGTAAATAAACTAAATAAAAGACAAGGGTAACTATAAGAAATATGATTGTAAACTCAAGGGTAACTGTAAGAAATATAACTAAATACAAAGACAAGGGTAACTGTAAGAAATATAACTAAATACAAAGACAAGGGTAACTATAAGAAATTGATGAATAGGTAACTATAAGAAATATAACTAAATACAAAGACAAGGGTAACTATAAGAAATATAACTGTAAATGAAGACAAGGGTTAACTATAATAAATATAAATTCATAAATACAAGGGTTAACTATATTTAATAGCATATACAAGGGTTGACTCTAATAAATATATTTGTAAATACAAGGGTTAACTATAACAAATATAATTATAAATATGAGGGTTAACTATAATAAATTATAAATTGGTTAATACAATTAATTATAATATGAGGGTTAACTATAACAAATATAATTATAAATATGAGGGTTAACTATAATAAATATAATTATAAATATGAGGGTTAACTATAATAAATAAATTAAATGAGGTTAACTATAACAAATATAATTAAAATTGAGGGTTAACTATAATAAATATAATTGTAAATATGAGGGTTAACTATAATAAATATAATTGTAAATATGAGGGTTAACTATAACAAATATAATTATAAATATGAGGGTTAACTATAACAAATATAATTGTAAATATGAGGGTTAACTATAATAAAATTTATAATTAATAAATATGATGGGTTAACTATAATAAATATAATTGTAAATATGAGGGTTAACTATAACAAATATAATTGTAAATATGAGGGTTAACTATAACAAATATAATTATAAATATGAGGGTTAACTATAATAAATATAATTATAAATATGAGGGTTAACTATAATAAATATAAATGTAAATACATTTTTTGTGAAGTGCTATTACCACTGTATATAATAATATACTAGCACTTGTGGGCAGAAAAACTAAGGCATCGATACCATGCCCAGCCCTTCTAGGGTAGGGTAGGTGCCCGAGCCCGAGCTTTTAGCTCATAAGACTGTCATTCCCATTAGCCCCCTTGGGGCGGGGATGGCAGACCAGAGAGGCCTAGCTTGTGGCTAGGCCTGGGCACAGTTGGTCCCAGAAGCTAGGCCTGGGCACAGTTGGTCCCAGAAGCTAGGCCTGGGCACAGTTGGTCCCAGAAGCTAGGCCTGGGGACAGTTGGTCCCAGAAGCTAGGCCTGGGGACAGTTGGTCCCAGAAGCTAGGCCTGGGGACAGTTGGTCCCAGAAGCTAGGCCTGGGGACAGTTGGTCCCAGAAGCTAGGCCTGGGGACAGTTGGTCCCAGAAGCTAGGCCTGGGGACAGTTGGTCCCAGAAGCTTGGCCTGGGGACAGTTGGTCCAGAAGCTAGGCCTGGGGACAGTTGGTCCCAGAAGCTAGGCCTGGGGACAGTTGGCCCAGAAGCTAGGCCTGGGGACAGTTGGTCCCAAAGATGAGGAGGTACTTGTGCCTCCTCCCATGGGAGACTTAGGTCTCAGACACTCCCTAAAGAGGGAGCCAAGGCCGGGCCACCACTTGGAAAAGGCCCGGGCCGGGAGAATGCCGGCGAATCTTTAATAATAATAATGATAATAATAAAAACTATGGCTGAAGACTCACCTGCCGTCAAAACAATCCTTAGCCTCGTCACACACCTGAGTCCTGGACACACAGGTGTGTAACCTAGGTGTTCCACACTGGAACTGGTCTGTGGCACACAGGGTGGCTGTTGTTCGACATACAACACCAGCTATCTGTGGGCAGGATACTGTGTTGTAGCACTCTGTGTGGACTCGTCTAATTGTGGTTGCAGGGGCCGAGTTATAGCTCCTGGCTCCGCCTCTTCACTGGTGGCTACTAGGTTCACTCTCTCCTTGCTCAATGAGTTTTATCATACCTCTTCTTAAAGCTATGTATGGATCCTGCCTCCACTACATCACTCTCCAGATTGTTCCACTTCCTGACCACTCTGTGACTGAAGAAATATTTCCTAACATCCCTGTGGCCCATCTGAGTCTTCAACTTTCAGTTGTTACCCCTTGTTGCTGTGTACCCTTGTTACTGTGTCCACTTGTTACTGTGTCCCCTTGTTACTGTGTCCCCTTGTTACTGTGTCCCCTTGTTACTGTGTCACATCTCTGTCCCTGTCCACCTTGTCAATTCCTCTCAGTATATTATATGCTGTTATCATGTCCCCTCTATCCATCCTGTCCTCCAGTGTCGTCAGATCGAGTTCCCTTAACGTCTCCTCGTAGGACATACCCCTTAGCTCCGGGGCTAGTCTTGTTGCAAACCTTTGCACTTTCTCTAATTCCTGACGTGTTTAACCAGGTGTGGGTTCCAAACAGGTGCTGCATACTCTAATATGGGCCTGACGTACACGGTGTACATGTTGTAAATCCTTACTAAGATGCTGAAATGCTGTTCATAGGTTTGCTAGACGCCTGTATGCTGCAGCAGTTATTTGGCTGATGTACATCTCAGGAGATATGCTCGGTATAATGCTTACCCCCAAGATCCTTTTTCTTGAGTTTTTTAGTCAATCTCCTTATGGTTGAAGTACCTGATCATGTGGGCCCTTTTGTTGCTCTCATATTCCTGTCTTCTCTTCCTGTTGTTCGGTGGTGAGTTGTACATCACTGCTACCATCACTTTTGGGCCCCCAGTAAGAATGTAGTTATCCACTACACCGTCTAACTAGTCCTCCCATCTCAAAAGTCCATTGGTTCTTAATGAGCAGTGCCACTCCTACTCCCCCTGTGCCCACCCCCTCACCTTTCCTCAGGATCTGATAACCAGATGGGAAGATCATGTCTGTTATTACTTAAATGAGCTTTGTCTCTGTGAGTGCTATGATATCTGGGGATGTCTCAGTGATTCTTTCCTGCCACTCTTCACTTTTATTTATAATTCCATCTGAATTGATGTACCTCAGCCTCAGCTTCTTTTCTAGGACTGTGTTTTGGGATGTGGGAGGATGTGAGTGTGTGTGTACTCACCTATTTGTACTCACCTATTTGTGGTTGCAGGGGTCGAGTCCTAGCTCCTGGCCCCGCCTCTTCACCGGTTGCTACTAGACCCTCTCTCTCCCCGCTCCATGAGCTTTATCAAACCTCGTCTTAAAACTGTGTATGGTTTCTGCCTCCACTACGTCATTTTCTAGGCTATTCCACTGCCTTACAACTCTATGACTGAAGAAATACTTCCTACTATCTCTCTGACTCATTTGTGTCTTCAACTTCCAATTGTGGCCTCTTGTTTCTGTGTCCCCTCCCTGGAACATCCTGTCCTTGTCCACCTTGTCTATTCCACGCAGTATTTTATATGTCGTTATCATGTCTCCCCTGACCCTCCTGTCCTCCAGTGTCGTCAGGCCGATTTCCCTTAATCTTTCTTCATAGGACATTCCCCTTAGCTCGGGAAACTAACCTTGTTGCAAACCTTTGTACTTTCTCTAGTTTCTTGACGTGCTTTATCAAGTGCGGGTTCCAAACAGGTGCTGCATACTCCAGTATGGGCCTGACAACACGGTGTACAGTGTCTTGAATGATCCTTACTAAGGTGTCGGAATGCTGTTCTCAGGTTTTGCCAGGCGCCCATATGCTTGCAGCAGTTATCTGATTGATGTGTGCTTCCGGAGACATGCTCGGTGTTATACTCACCCCAGATCTTCTCCTTGAGTGAGGTTTGCAGTCTTTGGCCACCTAGCCTATACTCCTGTCTGTGGTCTTCTGTGCCCTTCCCCTATCTTCATGACTTTGCATTTGGCAGATTAAATTCGAGAAGCCATTTGCTGGACCAGGTGTCCAGTCTGTCCAGGTCTCTTTGAAGTCCTGCCTGGTCCTCATCAGATTTAATTCTCCTCATTAACTTCACATCATCTGCAAACAGGGACACTTCTGAGTCTAACCCTTCCGTCATGTCGTTCACATATACCAAAAATAGCACTGGTCCTAGGACCGACCCCTGTGGGACCCCGCTCGTTACAGGTGCCCACTGTGATACATCATTACGTACCATGACTCGTTGTTGCCTCCCTGTCAGTGTGTGTGTGTGTGTGTGTGTGTGTGTGTGTGTGTGTGTGTGTGTGTGTGTGTGTTACCTGGAGTTTACCTGGAGAGAGTTTCGTGTGTATGTGTTATAGCAAGTCTCCGATCATATTAATTAACATGTATATCACATTTCTCTGAAAGGACGTTACACCCCCACCTGCAGACTCACTCTTAGACTCACCTCTGTAGCACCACAGTCATGAACACCCAGACCACTGGATGGGCACTGGAACAGAGAGTTCTCATGTCCAGTACATGACAACTTGTCCAGCCAGAACTTAGGTCTGCTACGACGCCAAGCTGAAAGTAAACAAGAACTTAATACGCTACAACCACAGACTCCTAGCTAGTATACATAGTGACTGATGACTTATGAGAATCACTCAGAGGTGACTAATGACTCACAAAAGACACACAGGTGACTAATGACTCACCCGAGTCGTTGCTGCCGAACTTATTGTTCCTGGTAAAGACTTGCGCTGCTGGGTAGCCCAGGCTCCTGCACACTAAATCTGCAGCCTCGAACCCAAAACCATCGTCACACACGTAGCCCCATTCACCATCCACCTTCACCTGCCACATAATAATAATAATAACAGCCAAGTTGTTAGTGCACTGGCCTGGTATTTTAAGGCTCAGTTACCATGGGTTTGAACCCTCATTAATCTTTCATGGTGTCCCTGACCCCCATTAAGTTTATCTTCATGGGGTCCTTGACCCCATTAAGCTTACCTACATGGGGTCTCTGACCCCATTAAGCTTACCTTCATTGGGTCCCTGACCCCATTAAGCTTACCTTCATTGGGTCCCTAACCCCATTAAGCTTACCTTCATGGGGTCCCTAACCCCATTAAGCTTACCTTCATGGGGTCCCTAACCCCATTAAGCTTACCGTCATGGGGTCCCTGACCCCTATTAAGCTTACTTTCATGGGGTCTCTGACCCCCGTTAACCTTACCTGTATGTTGCCTTCATGAGGCCCCTGGCCCCCAACAAGCTTAAGCTCGTGTTTGGTACTCAAGCTGCAGTCAGCCTCGTCACTGTTGTCACCACAGGTGTCGACACCGTCGCACAGCTTGTCGCGGGTGACACAGCGCTCGTTGTGACAGCGGAAGCGCATCCCACAGGCGGCACGGCGACTTCTCAGTTCGTAAAATTCTTCCTCGTCCGAAGAGGTCAGTCCCGAGGCTGCCACGTCGTTGCTACTCAGATGACACCTGATTGGTGGAGAGGCAGGGGGGTTTATCTATTACACCAGGGTCAGTATAGTCTATCTACTACACCAGGATCAGTATAGTCTATCTACTACACCAGGGTCAGTATAGTCTATCTACTACACCAGGGTCTAAGTAATAGGTCTAATCTACTACACAGGGTCAGTATAGCTCTTATCGTAGTTTATGACCCAGGGTCATTAAGACTGGTGGTTATGGGTTTAAAGTCATATCGTACTTCACCAGGTCACCGTCAAGCTTGTGCGGGTTAAATGCGCCGTTTACAGCATAGCTACCTACAGCGCAGGGATCATTAAACTGGCTGTCAGGTTAATGAGGTTAAAGTCTTGCTACTCAGATGACACTTATAAGGGTTTGGAGAGCAGGGTTAAGTTATCTATACACCAGGGTCAGTATAGTCTATCTACTACACAGGATCAGTTATATGTCTGTCTTAATGGGGTCTTAAAAGTCATCTACTACACCAGGGTCATATAGCTGATCTACTACAGGGTCTTAAAGTCTCTATCTCTACCAGGGTCATTAAGACTGGCTGGTTAATAGGGTTTAAAGTCTATCTACTACACGAGGATCATTAAGACTGGTTGGTTAATGGGGTTTAAAGTCTATCTACTACACCAGGGTCATTAAGACTGGCTGGTTAATAGGGTTTAAAGTCTATCTACTACACGAGGGTCATTAAGACTGGTTGGTTAATGGGGTTTAAAGTCTATGTACTACACCAGGGTCGTATAGTTTCTACTGGCTTAAGATGGCGCTTAAGGGGTAATAAAGTCTACTACACAGCATTGACTGGTGTTAAGTTAACAGTCTTACACCGGGGATGCTTAAGACTGCTGTTAATGGTTGTAAGTCTATCTACTACCAGGATCATAATATTTGGTTGGTAATGTTTAAAGTCTATGTACTGACACCATGGTATTAGACTGGTTTTGTGATAATGGTGGTTAAGTCTACTATGACTGGTATAAGACTAGCTGGTACTGGGTAAACTATCATAACCATGGTGTTATAGACTGACCATGTACTGTAACTTACCATGCAGGTGTAGACTACCTCTTAGCACAGAACCATGTAGCCTGTAGGTCGCCATGACTGGTCTGACTACCAGGATCACCTCCTGGTATGTAGCTTAACATGATGGACTGTCTTAGTAGACTACCATGATGGCTGTAGACTACCATGACTGTGTATAATACCATGATGACTGTAAACTACCATGATGACTGTGTTAGTAGACTGCCATGATGACTGTAGACTACCATGATGACTGTGTTAGTAGACTACCATGATGGCTGTAGACTACCATGACTGTGTATAATACCATGATGACTGTAAACTACCATGATGACTGTGTTAGTAGACTGCCATGATGACTGTAGACTACCATGATGGCTGTAGACTACCATGATGGCTGTAGACTACCATGACTGTGTATAATACCATGATGACTGTAGACTACCATGATAGCTGTGTTAGTAGACTACCATGATGGCTGTAGACTACCATGACTGTGTATAATACCATGATGGACTGTAAACTACCATGAGTTGTGTAGACTACCATGTGGTTTGTAGACTACCATGTGTGTAGACTACAATGATATAGATACCATGATTTGTAGACTACCATGATGTCCGTAGACTACCATGACTGTATAATACCATGATGACTGTAGACTACCATGGTTGTAGACTACCATGGTTGTAGACTACCATGATTGTTAGACTACCATGATTGTAGACTACCATGATTGTGTTAGACTACCATGATTGTAGACTACCATGGTTGTAGACTACCATGGTTGTAGACTACCATGATTGTAGACTACCATGATTGTGTTAGACTACCATGGTTGTAGACTACCATGATTGTGTTAGACTACCATGATTGTAGACTACCATGGTTGTAGACTACCATGATTGTAGACTACCATGATTGTAGACTACCATGATTGTGTTAGACTACCATGGTTGTAGACTACCATGGTTGTAGACTACCATGATTGTTGGTTAGACTACCATGATTGTGTTAGACTACCATGGTTGTAGACTACCATGATTGTGTTAGACTACCATGGTTGTAGACTACCATGGATTGTAGACTACATGATTGTGACTACCATGTTGTAGACTACCATGATTGTAGACTACCATGATTGTTAGACTACCTTTGGTTGTAGACTACCATGATTGTAGACTACCATGATTGTGTTAGACTACCATGATTGTAGACTACCATGGTTGTAGACTACCATGATTGTAGACTACCGTTACCATGATTGTGTTAGACTACCATGATTGTAGACTACCATGGTTGTAGACTACCATGGTTGTAGACTACCATGATTGTAGACTACCATGATTGTAGACTACCATGATTGTAGACTACCATGATTGTGTTAGACTACCATGATTGTAGACTACCATGGTTGTAGACTACCATGGTTGTAGACTACCATGATTGTGTTAGACTACCATGGTTGTAGACTACCATGGTTGTAGACTACCATGGTTGTAGACTACCATGATTGTGTTAGACTACCATGGTTGTAGACTACCATGGTTGTAGACTACCATGATTGTAGACTACCATGATTGTAGACTACCATGGTTGTAGACTACCATGATTGTAGACTACCATGATTGTGTTAGACTACCATGATTGTAGACTACCATGGTTGTAGACTACCATGATTGTAGACTACCATGATTGTGTTAGACTACCATGATTGTAGACTACCATGGTTGTAGACTACCATGATTGTAGACTACCATGATTGTGTTAGACTACCATGATTGTAGACTACCATGGTTGTAGACTACCATGATTGTGTTAGACTACCATGATTGTTAGACTACCATGATTGTAGACTACCATGGTTGTAGACTACCATGATTGTGTTAGACTACCATGATTGTAGACTACCATGGTTGTAGACTACCATGATTGTAGACTACCATGATTGTGTTAGACTACCATGATTGTGTTAGACTACCATGGTTGTGATACCATGATTGTAGACTACCATGTTGTGTAGACTACCATGATTGTAGACTACCATGATTGTAGATACATGGTTGTAGACTACATGTTGTAGACTACCATGATTGTGTTAGACTACCATGATTGTAGACTACCATGGTTGTAGACTACCATGATTGTAGACTACCATGATTGTGTTAGACTACCATGATTGTAGACTACCATGGTTGTAGACTACCATGATTGTGTTAGACTACCATGATTGTAGACTACCATGGTTGTAGACTACCATGATTGTAGACTACCATGATTGTGTTAGACTACCATGATTGTAGACTACCATGATTGTGTTAGACTACCATGATTGTAGACTACCATGGTTGTAGACTACCATGATTGTAGACTACCATAATTGTGTTAGACTACCATGATTGTAGACTACCATGGTTGTAGACTACCATGATTGTGTTAGACTACCATGATTGTGTTAGACTACCATGGTTGTAGACTACCATGGTTGTAGACTACCATGGTTGTAGACTACCATGGTTGTAGACTACCATGGTTGTAGACTACCATGATTGTAGACTACCATGGTTGTAGACTACCATGGTTGTAGACTACCATGATTGTAGACTACCATGGTTGTAGACTACCATGGTTGTAGACTACCATGGTTGTAGACTACCATGATGACTGTAGACTACCATGATGACTGTAGACTACCATGGTTGTAGACTACCATGGTTGTAGACTACCATGGTTGTAGACTACCATGATGACTGTAGACTACCATGATGACTGTAGACTACCATGGTTGTAGACTACCATGGTTGTAGACTACCATGGTTGTAGACTACCATGGTTGTAGACTACCATGGTTGTAGACTACCATGATGACTATATTAGTAGACTACTAGTGGTCATGGTAGTTTTAGTAAGTATTAAGGTAATAGTAATTAGGCGCTACAAGCACCTAATTACTAATTACAGAGGTGACTCACCTGCAGGAACCTCTTACACAGGTGCTCGTCGTCACCTCTGGGACACTGTCTATCACCGTCGCAGATGTTTTTCTGGTCTAGACAGGTGTTTGATCCCTCACACATGTGTTCGTCAGCCCTGCACCGCACCTGTAATTAGGTAGAGTTAATTAGGTATAACCCTGGTACCTACTTACTGCTAGGTGAATAGTGATAGCAGGTGTATGGTGGCTAGTATCCAGGTACCTACTTACTCCTAGGTGAACAGTGACAGCAGGTGTAAGGTGACTAACACCCAGGTACCTACTTACTCCTAGGTGAACAGTGACAGTAGATGTAAGATGACTAACACCCAGGTACCTACTTACTCCTAGGTGAACAGTGACAGCAGGTGTAAGGTGACTAACACCCAGGTACCTAATTACTGCTAGGTGAACAGTGACAGCAGGTGTAAGGTGACTAACACCCAGGCACCTACTTACTCCTAGGTGAACAGTGACAGCATGTGTAAGGTGACTAACACCCAGGTACCTACTTACTCCTAGGTGAACAGTGACAGCAGGTGTAAGGTGACTAACACCCAGGTACCTACTTACTCCTAGGTGAACAGTGACAGCAGGTGTAAGATGACTAACACCCAGGTATCTAATTACTGCTAGGTGAACAGTGACAGCAGGTGTAAGGTGACTAACACCCAGGTACCTAATTACTCCTAGGTGAACAGTGGCAGCAGGTGTAAGGTGACTAACACCCAGGCACCTAATTACTCCTAGGTGAACAGCGACAGCAGGTGTAAGGTGACTAACACCCAGGCACCTAATTACTCCTAGGTGAACAGTGGCAGCAGGTGTAAGGTGACTAACACCCAGGTACCTAATTACTGCTAGGTGAACAGTGACAGCAGATGTAAGGTGACTAACACCCAGGTACCTAATTACTCCTCGGTGAACAGTGGCAGCAGGTGTAAGGTGACTAACACCCAGGTACCTAATTACTCCTAGGTGAACAGTGGCAGCAGGTGTAAGGTGACTAACACCCAGGTACCTAATTACTCCTAGGTGAACAGTGGCAGCAGGTGTAAGGTGACTAACACCCAGGCACCTAATTACTCCTAGGTGAACAGTGGCAGCAGGTGTAAGGTGACTAACACCCAGGTACCTAATTACTCCTAGGTGAACAGTGGCAGCAGGTGTAAGGTGACTAACACCCAGGTAACTAATTACTGCTAGGTGAACAGTGGCAGCAGGTGTAAGGTGACTAACAGCCAGGTACCTAATTACTCCTAGGTGAACAGCGACAGCAGGTGTAAGGTGACTAACACCCAGGTACCTAATTACTGCTAGGTGAACACAGCTAAGAAATAGATGGAAATATTGGCCAATAGACAAATACATTCGATAGACTACCTTGGCAGCAGTGGTGATAGACCTGCTGGTAGTTGTGGTAGTGGTGGTAGTTGTGGTAGTGAAGGCTGGGAGGGAGGTGGTTGTGGTGGTCGTACTGGTGGTCTTGAGTGGTCGCAGGAATGTGGTCGTTCTTAGCGAAGCTGTGAATAATAATAATAGGTCACTATAACAAGACAGGTCACTGTAACAAGGCAGGTCACTGTAACAAGACAGGTCACTATGACAAGACAGGTCACTACAACAAGGTAGGTTACTATAACAAGACAGGTCACTATAACAAGGCAGGTAACTGTAACAAGACAGGTCACTATGACAAGACAGGTCACTACAACAAGGTAGGTTACTATAACAAGACAGGTCACTACAACAAGGTAGGTTACTATAACAAGACAGGTCACTATAACAAGACAGGTCACTATAACAAGACAGGTCACTGTAACAAGACAGGTCACTGTAACAAGACAGGTCACTGTAACAGGACAGGTCACTGTAACAAGACAGGTCACTGTAACAAGACAGGTCACTGTAACAGGACAGGTCACTGTAACAAGACAGGTCACTGTAACAGGACAGGTCACTGTAACAAGACAGGTCTCTATAACAAGATAGGTCACTACAACAAGGCAGGTCACTGTAACAAGACAGGTCACTGTAACAAGACAGGTCACTATGACAAGATAGGTCACTACAACAAGGCAGGTCACTGTAACAAGACAGGTTACTATAACAAGACAGGTCACTGTAACAAGACAGGTCACTATGACAAGACAGGTCACTATAACAAGACAGGTCACTGTAACAAGACAGGTCACTATGACAAGACAGGTCACTATAACAAGACAGGTCACTATAACAAGGCAGGTCACTGTAACAAGACAGGTCACTGTAACAAGACAGGTCACTGTAACAAGGCAGGTCACTGTAACAAGACAGGTCACTATAACAAGACAGGTCACTATAACAAGGCAGGTCACTGTAACAAGGCAGGTCACTGTAACAAGGCAGGTCACTGTAACAAGGCAGGTCACTGTAACAAGGCAGGTCACTGTTACAAGGCAGGTCACTGTAACAGGACAGGTCACTGTAACAAGACAGGTCACTGTAACAAGACAGGTCACTATAACAAGACAGGTCACTATAACAAGACAGGTCACTGTAACAAGACAGGTCACTGTAACAGGACAGGTCACTGTAACAAGACAGGTCACTGTAACAAGACAGGTCACTATAACAAGACAGGTCACTGTAACAGGACAGGTCACTGTAACAAGACAGGTCACTAACAAGACAGGTCACTATAAGAAGACAGGTCACTGTAACAAGACAGGTCGCTATAACAAGACAGGTCACTACAACAAGGTAGGTTACTATAACAAGACAGGTCACTATAACAAGGCAGGTCACTGTAACAAGACAGGTCACTGTAACAAGACAGGTCACTGTAACAAGACAGGTCGCTATAACAAGACAGGTCACTGTAACAAGACAGGTCACTGTAACAAGACAGGTCACTATAACAAGACAGGTCACTATAACAAGACAGGTCACTACAACAAGGTAGGTCACTGTAACAAGACAGGTCACTGTAACAAGGCAGGTCACTGTAACAAGGCAGTTCACTATGACAAGACAGGTCACTGTAACAAGGCAGGTCACTGTAACAAGACAGGTCACTGTAACAAGGCAGGTCACTGTAACAAGACAGGTCACTATGACAAGACAGGTCACTGTAACAAGGCAGGTCACTGTAACAAGGCAGGTCACTGTAACAAGACAGGTCACTGTAACAAGACAGGTCACTGTAACAAGACAGGTCACTGTAACAAGACAGGTCACTGTAACAAGACAGGTCACTATAACAAGACAGGTCACTATAACACGGCAGGCCACTGTAACAAGACAGGTCACTGTAACAAGACAGGTCACTTTAACAAGACAGGTCACTACAACAAGGTAGGTTACTATAACAAGACAGGTCACTTCAGTAAGACAGGTCACTACATCAAAATAGGTCACTATAACAAGACAGATCACTTCAGTAAGACAGGTCACTACAAGACAGGTCACTACAGGCTGAGTAGACCAACCTGCACTAGGAGACACAGAAGCCAGGTCACTACAAGACAGGTCACTATAACAAGACAGGTCACTACAAGACAGGTTATAACTAGACAGGTCACTTCAGTAAGACAGGTCACTACAAGACAGGTCACTACAGGCTGAGTAGACCTACCTGGACTAGGCGACACGGAAGCCAGGTCACTACAGGAAGGCAGGTCACAGGCTTCAGAAAGAGTAGGCTCAACGAAGCACCAAGGTTTAGGGGCCCCATCAGGGTTCCTACAGTAGTTATGGGCCCCTATGAGAGCCAGGTCAAAGTTACGGGCCCTGGAGTAGGAGCGGGCCCCTTCCAGGGTGTTGATCCGAGGATCCGTCCACATGAGGCAGGTCCGACCTGATGTTGTGAGGTAGGCCTGACCTGAGTAGGCTGTGCCATCACCCTCGTAACAATCTGAAGAATTGTTACAGTGTTACTGGTGTTACAGTGGTGTTACTGGTGTCACAGTGGTGTTATTGGTGTTACAGTGGTGTTACTGGTGTTACAGTGGTGTTACTGGTGTTACAGTGGTGTTACTTGTGTCACAGTGGTGTTACTGGTGTTACAGTGGTGTTACTTGTGTCACAGTGGTGTTACTTGTGTCACAGTGGTGTTACTTGTGTCACAGTGGTGTTACTTGTGTCACAGTGGTGTTACTTGTGTCACAGTGGTGTTACTTGTGTTACAGTGGTGTTACTGGTGTTACAGTGGTGTTACTGGTGTTACAGTGGTGTTACTGGTGTTACAATGGTGTTACTGGTGTTACAGTGGTGTTACTGGTGTTACAGTGGTGTTACTGGTGTTACAGTGGTGTTACTGGTGTTACAGTGGTGTTACTGGTGTTACAGTGGTGTTACTGGTGTCACAGTGGTGTTACTGGTGTTACAGTGGTGTTACTGGTGTCACAGTGGTGTTACTGGTGTTACAGTGGTGTTACTGGTGTTACAGTGGTGTTACTGGTGTCACAGTGGTGTTACAGTGGTGTTACTGGTGTTACAGTGGTGTTACTGGTGTTACAGTGGTGTTACTGGTGTTACAGTGGTGTTACTGGTGTCACAGTGGTGTTACTGGTGTTACTGGTGTTACAGTGGTGTCACAGTGGTGTTACTGGTGTTACAGTGGTGTTCTGGTGTTACAGTGGTGTTACTGGTGTTACTTGTGTCACAGTGGTGTTACTGGTGTTACAGTGGTGTTACTTGTGTCACAGTGGTGTTACTGGTGTTACAGTGGTGTTACTGGTGTTACAGTGGTGTTACTGGTGTTACAGTGGTGTTACTTGTGTCACAGTGGTGTTACTGGTGTTACAGTGGTGTTATTTGTGTCACAGTGATGTTACTGGTGTCACAGTGGTGTTACTGGTGTTACAGTGTTACTGGTGTTACAGTGGTGTTACTGGTGTTACAGTGGTGTTACTTGTGTCACAGTGGTGTTACTGGTGTTACAGTGGTGTTGTGTCACAGTGGTGTTACTGGTGTCACAGTGGTGTTACTGGTGTTACAGTGGTGTTACTGGTGTTACAATGGTGTTACTGGTGTTACAGTGGTGTTACTGGTGTTACAGTGGTGTTACTGGTGTTACAGTGGTGTTACTGGTGTTACAGTGGTGTTACTGGTGTTACAGTGGTGTTACTGGTGTCACAGTGGTGTTACTGGTGTTACAGTGGTGTTACTGTGTCACAGTGGTGTTACTGGTGTTACAGTGGTGTTACTGGTGTTACAGTGGTGTTACTGGTGTCACAGTGGTGTTACTGGTGTTACAGTGGTGTTACTGGTGTTACAGTGGTGTTACTGGTGTTACAGTGGTGTTACTGGTGTTACAGTGGTGTTACTGGTGTCACAGTGGTGTTACTGGTGTTACTGGTGTTACAGTGGTGTCACAGTGGTGTTACTGGTGTTACAGTGGTGTTACTGGTGTTACAGTGGTGTTACTGGTGTTACTTGTGTCACAGTGGTGTTACTGGTGTTACAGTGGTGTTACTTGTGTCACAAGTGTGTTAACTGGTGTTACAGTGGTGTTACTGGTGTTACAGTGGTGTTACTGGTGTTACAGTGGTGTTACTTGTGTCACAGTGGTGTTACTGGTGTTACAGTGGTGTTATTTGTGTCACAGTGGTGTTACTGGTGTCACAGTGGTGTTACTGGTGTTACAGTGTTACTGGTGTTACAGTGGTGTTACTGGTGTTACAGTGGTGTTACTTGTGTCACAGTGGTTTACGGTGTTACAGTGGTGTTATTTGTGTCACAGTGGTGTTTACTGGTGTCACAGTGGTGTTACTGGTGTTACAGTGTTACTGGTGTTACAGTGGTGTTACTGGTGTTACAGTGGTGTCACTTGTGTCACAGTGGTGTTACTGGTGTTACAGTGGTGTTACTGGTGTTACAGTGGTGTCACTTGTGTCACAGTGGTGTTACTGGTGTTACAGTGGTGTTACTGGTGTTACAGTGTTACTGGTGTTACAGTGGTGTTACTGGTGTTACAGTGGTGTCACTTGTGTCACAGTGGTGTTACTGGTGTTACAGGGTGTGTTACTGGTGTTACAGTGGTGTCACTTGTGTCACAGTGGTGTTACTGGTGTTACAGTGGTGTTACTGGTGTTACAGTGGTGTTACTGGTGTTACAGTGGTGTCACTTGTGTCACAGTGGTGTTACTGGTGTTACAGTGGTGTTACTGGTGTTACAGTGTTACTGGTGTTACAGTGGTGTTACTGTGTTACAGTGGTGTCACTTGTGCCCACAGTGGTGTTACTGGTGTTACAGTGGTGTTACTGGTGTTACAGTGGTGTCACTTGTGTCACAGTGGTGTTACTGGTGTTACAGTGGTGTTACTGGTGTTACAGTGGTGTTACTGGTGTTACAGTGGTGTTACTGGTGTTACAGTGGTGTTACTGGTGTCACAGTGGTGTTACTGGTGTTACAGTGGTGTTACTGGTGTCACAGTGGTGTTACTGGTGTTACAGTGGTGTTACTGGTGTTACAGTGGTGTTACTGGTGTCACAGTGGTGTTACTTGTGTTACAGTGGTGTTACTGGTGTTACAGTGGTGTTACTGGTGTTACAGTGGTGTCACTTGTGTCACAGTGGTGTTACTGGTGTTACAGTGGTGTTATTGGTGTTACAGTGGTGTCACTTGTGTCACAGTGGTGTTACTTGTGTCCTAAACCTGTATTCCCTGGAACGCAGGCGAGAGAGATACATGATTATATACACCTGGAAAATCCTAGAGGGACTAGTACCGAACTTGCACACGAAAATCACTCACTACGAAAGCAAAAGACTTGGCAGACGATGCAACATCCCCCAAATGAAAAGCAGGGGTGTCACTAGCACGTTAAGAGACCATACAATAAGTGTCAGGGGCCCGAGACTGTTCAACTGCCTCCCAGCACACATAAGGGGGATTACCAACAGACCCCTGGCAGTCTTCAAGCTGGCACTGGACAAGCACCTAAAGTCAGTTCCTGATCAGCCGGGTTGTGGCTCGTACGTTGGTTTGCGTGCAGCCAGCAGCAACAGCCTGGTTGATCAGGCTCTGATCCACCAGGAGGCCTGGTCACAGACCGGGCCGCGGGGGCGTTGACCCCCGGAACTCTCTCCAGGTAAACTCCAGGTAAACAGTGGTGTTACTTGTGTCACAGTGGTGTTACTTGTATCACAGTGGTGTTACTGGTGTTACAGTGGTGTTACTGGTGTTACAGTGGTGTCACTTGTGTCACAGTGGTGTTACTTGTGTCACAGTGGTGTTACTTGTATCACAGTGGTGTTACTGGTGTTACAGTGGTGTTACTGGTGTTACAGTGGTGTCACTTGTGTCACAGTGGTGCTACTTGTATCACAGTGGTGTTACTGGTGTTACAGTGGTGTTACTGGTGTTACAGTGGTGTCACTTGTGTCACAGTGTTGTTACTTGTGTCACAGTGGTGTTACTTGTATCACAGTGGTGTTACTGGTGTTACAGTGGTGTTACTGGTGTTACAGTGGTGTCACTTGTGTCACAGTGGTGTTACTTGTGTCACAGTAGTGTCACTTGTGTTACAGTGGTGTCACTTGTGTCACAGTGGTGTTACTGGTGTTACAGTGGTGTTACTTGTGTCACAATGGTGGTACTGGTGTTACAGTGGTGTTACTGGTGTTACAGTGGTGTTACTTGTGTCACAGTGGTGTTACTTGTGTCACAGTGGTGTTACTGGTGTTACAGTGGTGTTACTTGTGTCACAGTGGTGTTACTTGTGTCACAGTGGTGTTACTTGTGTTACAGTGGTGTTACTGGTGTTACAATGGTGTTACTTGTGTCACAGTGGTGTTACTTGTGTCACAGTGGTGTTACTTGTGTCACAGTGGTGTTACTGGTGTTACAGTGGTGTTACTTGTATCACAGTGGTGTTACTTGTGTCACAGTGGTGTTACTTATGTTACAGTGGTGTTACTGGTGTTACAGTTGTGTTACTGGTGTTACAGTGGTGTTACAGTGGTGTTACTGGTGTTACAGTGGTGTTACTGGTGTTACAGTGGTGTTACTGGTGTTACAGTGGTGTTACTTGTGTCACAGTGGTGTTACTGGTGTTACAGTGGTGTTACGTGTGTGTACTCACCTATGTTAGGTTGCAGGGGTCGATTCACAGCTCCTGTGAGTGTCTGGTTACCCCTCGTTGTTCCTGTAACGAAATAGGACAGTAATCGTAAGTAACTTTCCAGTCACCATACAAGGTACTTACCACTACCACCATACAAGGTAGGCACTTTCCAGTCACCATACAAGGTACTTACCACTACCACCATACAAGGTAGGCACTTTCCAGTCACCATACAAGGTACTTACCACTACCACCATACAAGGTAGGCACTTTCCAGTCACCATACAAGGTACTTACCACTACCACCATACAAGGTAGGCACTTTCCAGTCACCATACAAGGTACTTACCACTACCACCATACAAGGTAGGCACTTACCATCACCATACAAGGTACTTACCACTACCACCATACAAGGTAGGCACTTACCAGTCACCATACAAGGTACTTACCACTACCACCATACAAGGTAAGCACTTACCAGTCACCCATACAAGGTACATTACCACTACCACCATACAAGGTAGGCACTTTCCAGTACACCATACAAGGTACTTACCACTACCACCATACAAGGTAGGCACTTACCAGTCACCATACAAGGTACTTACCACTACCACCATACAAGGTAGGCACTTTCCAGTCACCATACAAGGTACTTACCACTACCACCATACAAGGTAGGCACTTACCAGTCACCATACAAGGTACTTACCACTACCACCATACAAGGTAGGCACTTACCAGTCACCATACAAGGTACTTACCACTACCACCATACAAGGTAGGCACTTTCCAGTCACCATACAAGGTACTTACCACTACCACCATACAAGGTAGGCACTTACCTACTTCCTTCACAGTCGCCATACACACAAAAGGCCTCTTGCTCTCACAGTCACTGGCGTGGAAGTAGTAGAAACCACTGTCGTAGACACTGCCCGAACCATCCGTCAGTGGGAAGTACTTCTTAAGGACCAGACAAGAGGAGGTGGTCAGCCCTGGAGCCTGGATGGTGCTCCTCCTTCCAGTGTTGTTCCAGCCTGTCAACATCATGTTAATGTATAGTCTATTATAGGCCTACTTTTCTGACTTTAGGCCTTTGTGACTTATAGACGTATTTTGTGACTGACTTATAGGCCTACTTTGTGACTTATAGACGTATTTTGTGACTGACTTATAGGCCTACTTTGTGACTTATAGACGTATTTTGTGACTGACTTATAGGCCTACTTTGTGACTTATAGACGTATTTTGTGACTGACTTATAGGCCTACTTTTCTGACTTTAGGCCTACTTTGTGACTTACAGACGTATTTTGTGACTGACTTATAGGCCTACTTTGTGACTTACAGACGTATTTTGTGACTGACTTATAGGCCTACTTCTCTGACTTTAGGCCTACTTTGTGACTTATAGACGTATTTTGTGACTGACTTATAGGCCTACTTTTCTGATTTTAGGCCTACTTTGTGACTTATAGACGTATTTTGTGACTGACTTATAGGCCTACTTTTCTGACTAGGCCTACTTTTCTGACTAGGCCTACTTTGTGACTTATAGACGTATTTTGTGACTGACTTATAGGCCTACTTTTCTGACTTTAGGCCTACTTTGTGACTTATAGACGTATTTTGTGACTGACTTATAGGCCTACTTTTCTGACTAGGCCTACTTTGTGACTTATAGACGTATTTTGTGACTGACTTATAGGCCTACTTTGTGACTTGTAGACGTATTTTGTGACTGACTTATAGGCCTACTTTGTGACTTATAGACGTATTTTGTGACTGACTTATAGGCTTACTTTGTGACTTGTAGACGTATTTTGTGACTGACTTATAGGCCTACTCTGTGACTTATAGACGTATTTTGTGACTGACTTATAGGCCTACTTTGTGACTTATAGACGTATTTTGTGACTGACTTATAGACCTACTTTGTGACTTGTAGACGTATTTTGTGACTGACTTATAGGCCTACTTTGTGATTTATAGACGTATTTTGTGACTGACTTATAGGCCTACTTTTCTGACTTTAGGCCTACTTTGTGACTTATAGACGTATTTTGTGACTGACTTGTAGGCCTACTTTGTGACTTATAGACGTATTTTGTGACTGACTTATAGGCCTACTTTGTGACTTGTAGACGTATTTTGTGACTGACTTATAGGCCTACTATTCTGACTTTAGGCCTACTTTGTGACTTATAGACGTATTTTGTGACTGACTTATAGGCTACTTTGTAACTTATAGACATATTTTGTGACTGACTTATAGGCCTACTTTGTGACTTATAGACGTATTTTGTAACTGACTTATAGGCCTACTTTTCTGACTTTAGGCCTACTTTGTGACTTATAGACGTATTTTGTGACTGACTTATAGGCCTACTTTGTGACTTATAGACGTATTTTGTGACTGACTTATAGGCCTACTTTGTGACTTGTAGACATATTTTGTGACTGACTTATAGGCCTACTCTGTGACTTATAGACCTATTTTGTGACTGACTTATAGGCCTACTCTGTGACTTAGAGACGTATTTTGTGACTGACTTATAGGCCTACTTTGTGACTTATAGATGTATTTTGTGACTGACTTATAGGCCTACTTTGTGACTTATAGACGTATTTTGTGACTGACTTATAGGCTTACTTTGTGACTTGTAGACATATTTTGTGACTGACTTATAGGCCTACTTTGTGACTTATAGATCTATTTTGTGGCTTATAGGTTTATTTTGTGACTTACACCCATTCTGTGACATAGGCCTATTTTGTAGAAAATAATGGTTACAAAAACTTAGGCAATTTACTTAATATTTAAATAAAAAAAAATATTTTTAGACCTACCAATAAATTAATATTTAATTTAGTAAATTTATCGTAGAGTAAAAATAATAAATATTTTTAAAATACGACAGAATTTACATAAAAAGAAAATTTGGTGACTAATTTGAGAGAAATAAATTAGTTACCGTTTTCTTAAGGGGAAACTTCTCCATTTATTTATCATTTTTCTTAGTGTTAATTTATATTTTGAGGCCTACCTGGCCACCACTTGGAGTGGTTAAGTGGTTGATGGGTGGTTCCCCATGCCCACACCCTCACGCCGCCCACGGGAACGCCCATACCATCGGTGTAGAATTCAAGGTCGTTAATGGCACTTCCGAGTAATTCTGATACGTACTCGTGTTCAGCCTGTGAATGGTTGTTAAGGCTGGTTAATGGGGTTTAAAGTCTATCTACTACACCAGGGTCATTAAGACTGGTTGGTTGGTTAATGGGGTTTAAAGTCTATCTACTACACCAGGGTCATTAAGACTGGTTGGTTGGTTAATGGGGTTTAAAGTCTATCTACTACACCAGGGTCATTAAGACTGGTTGGTTGGTTAATGGGGTTTAAAGTCTATCTACTACACCAGGGCCATTAAGACTGGTTGGTTGGTTAATGGGGTTTAAAGTCTATCTACTACACCAGGGTCATTAAGACTGATTGGTTGGTTAATGGGGTTTAAAGTCTATCTACTACACCAGGGCCATTAAGACTGGTTGGTTGGTTAATGGGGTTTAAAGTCTATCTACTACACCAGGGTCATTAAGACTGATTGGTTGGTTAATGGGTTTAAAGTCTATCTACTACACCAGGGTCATTAAGACTGGTTGGTTGGTTAATGGGGTTTAAAGTCTATCTACTACACCAGGGTCATTAAGACTGGTTGGTTGTTTAATGGGGTTTAAAGTCTATCTACTACACCAGGGTCATTAAGACTGGTTGGTTGGTTAATGGGGTTTAAAAGTCTATCTACTACACCAGGGTCATTAAGACTGGTTGGTTGGTTAATGGGGTTTAAAAGTCTATCTACTACACCAGGGTCATTAAGACTGGTTGGTTGGTTAATGGGGTTTAAAGTCTATCTACTACACCAGGGTCATTAAGACTGGTTGGGTGGTTAATGGGGTTTAAAGTCTATCTACTACACCAGGGTCATTAAGACTGGTTGGTTGGTTAATGGGGTTTAAAGTCTATCTACTACACCAGGGTCATTAAGACTGGTTGGTTGGTTAATGGGGTTTAAAGTCTATCTACTACACCAGGGTCATTAAGACTGGTTGGTTGGTTAATGGGGTTTAAAGTCTATCTACTACACCAGGGTCATTAAGGCTGCAGGTCACCTGGTCACCACCAGTCAAGAATACTTTAATACCTAAAATACTGATTAATGTAAACTACCAGTGTATATACACTGAGATATACACCTCTCAGTGTATATACACTGAGATATACACCTCTCAGTGTATATACACTGAGATATACACCTCTCAGTGTATATACATGAGATATACACCTCTCAGTGTATATACACTGAGATATACACCTCTCAGTGTATATACACTGTGATATACACCTCTCAGTGTATATACACTGAGATATACACCTCTCAGTGTATATACACTGAGATATACACCTCTCAGTGTATATACACTGAGATATACACCTCTCAGTGTATATACACTGAGATATACACCTCTCAGTGTATATACACTGAGATATACACCTCTCAGTGTATATACACTGAGATATGCACCTCTCAGTGTATATACACTGTGATATACACCTCTCAGTGTATATACACTGAGATATACACCTCTCAGTGTATATACACTGAGATATACACCTCTCAGTGTATATACACTGAGATATACACCTCTCAGTGTATATACACTGAGATATACACCTCTCAGTGTATATACACTGAGATTTAACACAAACTAAATTAAACCTCGTATTAAACCACATATTAACCTCCCTCACCTTCCTCGTCTTGAAACATAACTTTTAAAAATAATATTAAAGTTATCCCTAAGTTGCTCAGTAATGTTTTAGAGGAGAGACTCGTCTGTTATTTCAGGTAATATTTACATTAGTTTGTGTCAACAACTTCCTTTCAAGTCAGCAGGAGAATAATTATATGTCATTCTTCCTGGTTGAGTGTATGATCGACACCATGCCCAGCCCTTCTAGGGCAGGGTAGGTGCCCGAGCCCGAGCCTTTAGCTCATAAGACTGTCATTCCCATTTGCCCCCTTGGGGAGGGGATGGCAGACCAGAGAGGCCTAGCTTGTGGCTAGGCCTGGGCACAGTTGGTCCCAGAAGCTAGGCCTGGGCACAGTCGGTCCCAGAAGCTAGGCCTGGGGACAGTTGGTCCCAGAAGCTAGGCCTGGGGACAGTTGGTCCCAGAAGCTAGGCCTGGGGACAGTTGGTCCCAGAAGCTAGGCCTGGGGACAGTTGGTCCCAGAAGGGTAGGCCTGGGGACAGTTGGTCCAGAAGCTAGGCCTGGGGACAGTTGGTCCCAGAAGCTAGGCCTGGGGACAGTTGGTCCCAGAAGCTAGGCCTGGGGACAGTTGGTCCCAGAAGCTAGGCCTGGGGACAGTTGGTCCCAGAAGCTAGGCCTGGGGACAGTTGGTCCCAGAAGCTAGGCCTGGGGACAGTTGGTCCCAGAAGCTAGGCCTGGGGACAGTTGGTCCCAGAAGCTAGCCTGGGGACAGTTGGTCCAGAAGCTAGGCCTGGGGACAGTTGGTCCCAAGAAGCTAGGCCTGGGGACAGTTGGTCCCAGAAGCTAGGCCTGGGGACAGTTGGTCCCAGAAGCTAGGCCTGGGGACAGTTGGTCCCAAAGATGAGGAGGTACTTGTGCCTCCTCCCATGGGAGACTTAGGTCTCAGACACTCCCTAAAGAGGGAGCCAAGGCCGGGCCACCCCTTGGAAAAGGCCCGGGCCGGGAGAATACCGGCGAATCTTTAATAATAATAAAATTGAGTGTATTTTGGAGTGTATATCTATCTTGGGGTATATTTACAGGTGTATATACACAGATTTGTGTATATCTCAATATATATACACTGTGAGATGTGTATATACACTTTGAAATTACTAAGAACAATCACTTCAATTACTAGGACCTTGGTTACTAGTAACTAGGACATTTTTTCTAATAACTAGGACCTCAGTTGCTAGTAATTAGGACCCCAGTTACTAGTAACTAGGACCCCAGTTACTAGTAGCTAGGACCTTAGTTGCTAGTGATTAGGGCCCCAGTTACTAGTAACTACGACCTCAGTTGCTAGTAATTAGGACCCCAGTACTAGTAACTAGGACCTCAGTTACTAGTAACTAGGACCCCAGTTACTAGTAACTAGGACCTCAGTTGCTAGTAATTAGGACCCCAGTTACTAGTGCTAGGACCTTTTTCTAGTAACTAGGTCCTCAGTTGCTAGTAATTAGGACCCCAGTTACTAGTAACTAGGATCTAAGTTGCTAGTAACTAGGATCTCTGTTGCTAGTAAATAGGTATTCTAGCACCTACCTGGGTGCTGACACTCAGTAGTTGAGCTCCTCTCTCCTGACACATGACCTGGGCTGAAGTCCTGGTGGCCCTGAAGTTGTCCAGGACCATGAAGCAGTGGTCCTGCCACCTCTCCCAAGGTCGGTCTCCAGCTGTGGTCCCCTGGGAGGGGCACCTGTGAGTCGGGGACCTTCCACACCTGTAATGTGTAAGGGTGTGGGGGGATGTATAAGGGGCCAGGAGCTATGAATCGACCCCTGCAACCATAAATACGTAAATATACAAGTACTTAACCTCTAGCACCTATCTAACACCTCTAGCACCTATCTAACACCTCTAGCACCTATCTAACACCTCTAGCACCTATATAACACCTCTAGCATCTAACACCTCTAGCACCTATCTAACACATCTAGCACCTATCTAACACCTCTAGCACATGTCTAACACATCTAGCACCTATCTAACACCTCTAGCACCTGTCTAACACATCTAGCACCTATCTAACACCTCTAGCACCTAACACCTCTAGCACCTATCTAACACCTCTAGCACCTATCTAACACCTCTAGCACCTAACACCTCTAGCACCTATCTAACACCTCTAGCACCTATCTAACACATCTAGCACCTATCTAACACCTCTAGCACCTGTCTAACACATCTAGCACCTATCTAACACCTCTAGCACCTAACACATCTAGCACCTATCTAACACCTCTAGCACCTATCTAACACATCTAGCATTTATCTAACACCTCTAGCACCTAACACCTCTAGCACCTAACACCTCTAGCACCTGTCTAATACCTCTAGCACCTAACATCTCTAGCACCTAACACCTCTAGCACCTAACACCTTTAGCACCTATCTAACACCTCTAGCACCTAACACATCTAGCACCTATCTAACACCTCTAGCACCTGTCTAACACATCTATCACCTATCTAACACCTCTAGCACCTAACACCTCTAGCACCTATCTGACACCTCTAGCACCTGTCTAACACCTCTAGCACCTAACACCTCTAGCATTTATCTAACACCTCTAGCACCTATCTAACACCTCTACCACCTATCTAACACCTCTAGCACCTATCTAACACGTACCTGATAGATAGTACAGTGGTGTTAGGTCTACAAGAGGTACAGGCACTGAGGCTGCACCTGTTGAGTGAGGCTACAGCTCCTGGACACCCTATTTGTACCACTGCTGAACCCTCGTTGCCAGACGTGCTGCCGCCGCTGCCAGGCGCTATCACCGCGCTGCCGGACTCGTACCTGGGAGGTAAAACATGTCGTACCGTTAGGAGGGAAACGTTGTCGTATTTGTTGTTATTGGTATAATGGGTAGGTAAATGCGTGTTATTTTGGACGATGTTTCGCCCACTTGATGTTTGAGGTGAAGGAGAGGTTAGTAGATAGACTTTAACCCCCCATTAACCAACCAACCAGTCTTAATGACCCTGGTGTAGTTGATAGACTTTAAACCCCATTAACCAACCAACCAGTCTTAATGTCCCTGGTGTAGTAGATAGATTTTAAACCCCATTAACCAACCAACCAGTCTTAATGACTCTGGTGTAGTAGATAGGCTTTAAACCCCATTAACCAACCAACCAGTCTTAATGACCCTGGTGTAGTAGATAGACTTTAAACCCCATTAACCAACCAACCAGCCTTAATGACCCTGGTGTAGTAGATAGACTTTAAACCCCATTAACCAACCAACCAGTCTTAATGACTCTGGTGTAGTAGATAGGCTTTAAACCCCATTAACCAACCAACCAGTCTTAATGACCCTGGTGTAGTAGATAGACTTTAAACCCCATTAACCAACCAACCAGCCTTAATGACCCTGGTGTAGTAGATAGACTTTAAACCCCATTAACCAACCAACCAGTCTTAATGACCCTGGTGTAGTAGATAGACTTTAAACCCCATTAACCAACCAACCACTCTTAATGACCCTGGTGTAGTAGATAGACTTTAAACCCCATTAACCAACCAACCAGCCTTAATAACCCTGGTGTAGTAGATAGACTTTAAGCCCCATTAACCAACCAACCAGTCTTAATGACCCTGGTGTAGTGGATAGACTTTAAGCCCCATTAACCAACCAACCAGTCTTAATGACCCCGGTGTAGTAGATAGACTTTAAACCCCATTAACCAACCAACCAGTCTTAATGACCCTGGTGTAGTAGATAGACTTTAAACCCCATTAACCAACCAACCAACCAGTCTTAATGACCCTGGTGTAGTAGATAGACTTTAAACCCCATTAACCAACCAACCAGTCTCAATGACCCTGGTGTAGTAGATAGACTTTAAACCCCATTAACCAACCAACCAGTCTTAATGACCCTGGTGTAGTAGATAGACTTTAAACCCCATTAACCAACCAACCAGTCTTAATGACCCTGGTGTAGTAGATAGACTTAAAACCCCATTAACCAACCAACCAGTCTTAATGACCCTGGTTTAGTAGATAGACTTTAAACCCCATTAACCAGCCAACCAACCAGTCTTAATGACCCTGGTGTAGTAGATAGACTTTAAACCCCATTAACCAACCAAGCAGCCAGTCTTAATGACCCTGGTGTAGTAGATAGACTTTAAACCCCTTTAACCATCCAACCAGTCTTAATGACCCTGGTGTAGTAGATAGACTTTAAACCCCATTAACCAAACAACCAGCCTTAATGACCCTGGTGTAGTAGATAGACTTTAAACCCCATTAACCAACCAACCAGTCTTAATGACCCGGTGTAGTAGATAGACTTTAAACCCCATTAACCAACCAACCAGTCTTAATGACCCTGGTGTAGTAGATAGACTTTAAACCCCATTAACCAACCAACCAACCAGTCTTAATGACCCTGGTGTAGTAGATAGACTTTAAACCCCATTAACCAACCAACCAGTCTTAATGACCCTGGTGTAGTAGATAGACTTTAAACCCCATTAACCAACCAACCAGTCTTAATGACCCTGGTGTAGTAGATAGACTTTAAACCCCATTAACCAACCAACCAGTCTTAATGACCCTGGTGTAGTGGATAGACTTTAAACCCCATTAACCAACCAACCAGTCTTAATGACGCTGGTGTAGTAGATAGACTTAAAACCGTATTAACCAACCAACCAGTCTTAATGACCCTGGTTTAGTAGATAGACTTTAAACCCCATTAACCAGCCAACCAACCAGTCTTAATGACCCTGGTGTAGTAGATAGACTTTAAACCCCATTAACCAACCAAGCAGCCAGTCTTAATGACCCTGGTGTAGTAGATAGACTTTAAACCCCATTACCCAGCCAACCAACCAGTCTTAATGACCCTGGTGTAGTAGATAGACTTTAAACCCCATTAACCAACCAACCAGTCTTAATGACCCTGGTGTAGTAGATAGACTTTAAACCCCATTAACCAACCAACCAGTCTTAATGACCCTGGTGTAGTAGATAGACTTTAAACCCCATTAACCAGCCAACCAACCAGTCTTAATGACCCTGGTGTAGTAGATAGACTTTAAACCCCATTAACCAACCAACCAGTCTTAATGACCCTGGTGTAGTAGATAGACTTTAAACCCCATTAACCAACCAACCAGTCTTAATGACCCTGGTGTAGTAGATAGACTTTAAACCCCATTAACCAACCAACCAGTCTTAATGACCCTGGTGTAGTAGATAGACTTTAAACCCCATTAACCAGCCAACCAACCAGTCTTAATGACCCTGGTGTAGTAGATAGACTTTAAACCCCATTAACCAACCAACCAGTTTTAATGATCCTGGTGTAGTAGATAGACTTTAAACCCCTTTAACCATCCAACCAGTCTTAATGACCCTGGTGTAGTAGACTTTAAACCCCATTAACCAACCAACCAGTCTTAATGACCCTGGTGTAGTAGATAGACTTTAAACCCCATTAACCAACCAACCAGTCTTAATGTCCCTGGTGTAGTAGATAGACTTTAAACCCCATTAACCAACCAACCAGCCTTAATGACCCTGGTGTAGTAGATAGACTTTAAACCCCATTAACCAACCAACCAGTCTTAATGACCCTGGTGTAGTAGATAGACTTTAAACCCCATTAACCAACCAACCAGTCTTAATGACCCTGGTGTAGTAGATAGACTTTAAACCCCATTAACCAACCAACCAGTCTTAATGACCCTGTGTAGTAGATAGACTTTAAACCCCATTAACCAACCATCCAGTCTTAATGACCCTGGTGTAGTAGATAGACTTTAAACCCCATTAACCAACCAACCAGTCTTAATGACTCTCCTGTAGTAGATAGACTTTAAACCCCATTAACCATCCAACCAGTCTTAATGACCCTGGTGTAGTAGATAGACTTTAAACCCCATTAACCAACCAACCAGTCTTAATGACTCTCCTGTAATAGATAGACTTTAAACCCCATTAACCATCCAACCAGTCTTAATGACCCTGGTGTAGTAGATAGACTTTAAACCCCATTAACCAACCAACCAGTCTTAATGACTCTCCTGTAGTAGATGGACTTTAAACCCCATTAACCATCCAACCAGTCTTAATGACCCTGGTGTAGTAGATAGACTTTAAACCCCATTAACCACCCAACCAGTCTTAATGATCCTGGTGTAGTAGATAGACTTTAAACCCCTTTAACCATCCAACCAGTCTTAATGACCCTGGTATAGTAGATAGACTTTAAACCCCATTAACCAACCAACCACTCTTAATGATCCTGGTGTAGTAGATAGACTTTAAACCCCTTTAACCATCCAACCAGTCTTAATGACCCTGGTGTAGTAGACTTTAAACCCCATTAACCAACCAACCAGTCTTAATGACCCTGGTGTAGTAGATAAACTTTAAACCCCATTAACCAACCAACCAGTCTTACCCCATTAACCAACCAACCAGTCTTAATGACCCTGGTGTAGTAGATAGATTTTAAACCCCATTAACCATCCAACCAGTCTTAATGACCCTGGTGTGGTAGATAGACTTTAAACCCCATTAACCAACCAACCAGTCTTAATGACCCTGGTGTAGTAGATAGACTTTAAACCCCATTAACCAACCAACCAGTCTTAATGACCCTGGTGTAGTAGATAGACTTTAAACCCCATTAACCAACCAGCCAGTCAGTCTTAATGACCCTGGTGTAGTAGATAGACTTTAAATCCCATTAACCAACCAACCAGCCAGTCTTAATGACCCTTGTGTAGTAGATAGACTTTAAACCCCTTTAACCATCCAACCAGTCTTAATGACCCTGGTGTAGTAGATAGACTTTAAACCCCATTAACCAGCCAACCAACCAGTCTTAATGACCCTGGTGTAGTAGATAGACTTTAAACCCCATTAACCAACCAACCAGTCTTAATGACCCTGGTGTAGTAGATAGACTTTAAACACCATTAACCAACCAACCAGTCTTAATAACCCTGGTGTAGTAGATAGACTTAAAACTCCATTAACCAACCAACCAGTCTTAATGACCCTGGTGTGGTAGATAGACTTTAAACCCCATTAACCAACCAACCAACCAGTCTTAATGACCCTGGTGTAGTTGATAGACTTTAAACCCCATTAACCAACCAACCAGTCTTAATGACCATGGTGTAGTAGATAGACTTTAAACCCCATTAACCAACCAACCAGTCTTAATGACCCTGGTGTAGTAGATAGACTTTAAACCCCATTAACCAACCAACCAGTCTTAATGACCCTGGTGTAGTAGATAGATTTTAAACCCCATTAACCAACCAACCAGTCTTAATGACCCTGGTGTAGTAGATAGACTTTAAACCCCATTAACCAGCCAACCAACCAGTCTTAATGACCCTGATGTAGTAGATAGACTTTAAGCCCCATTAACCAACCAACCAGCCAGTCTTAATGACCCTGGTGTAGTAGATAGACTTTAAGCCCCATTAACCAACCAACCAGCCAGTCTTAATGACCCTGGTGTAGTAGATAGACTTTAAACCCCATTAACCAACCAACCAGTCTTAATGACCCTGGTGTAGTAGATAGACTTTAAACCCCATTAACCAACCAACCAGTCTTAATGACCCTGGTGTAATAGATAGACTTTAAATCCCATTAACCATCCAACCAGTCTTAATGACCCTGGTGTAGTAGATAGACTTTAAACCCCATTAACCAGCCAACCAACCAGTCTTAATGACCCTGGTGTAGTAGATAGACTTTAAACCCCATTAACCAACCAACCAGTCTTAATGACCCTGGTGTAGTAGATAGACTTTAAACCCCTTTAACCATCCAACCAGTCTTAATGAACCTGGTGTAGTGGATAGACTTTAAACCCCATTAACCAACCAACCAGCCAGTCTTAATGACCCTGGTGTAGTAGATAGACTTTAAACCCCATTAACCAACCAGCCAGTCTTAATGACCCTGGTGTAGTAGATAGACTTTAAACCCCATTAACCAACCAACCAGTCTTAATGACCCTGGTGTAGTAGATAGACTTTAAACCCCATTAACCAACCAACCAGTCTTAATGACCCTGGTGTAATAGATAGACTTTAAATCCCATTAACCATCCAACCAGTCTTAATGACCCTGGTGTAGTAGATAGACTTTAAACCCCATTAACCAACCAACCAGTCTTAATGACCCTGGTGTAGTAGATAGACTTTAAACCCCATTAACCATCCAACCAGTCTTAATGACCCTGGTGTAGTAGATAGACTTTAAACCCCATTAACCATCCAACCAGTCTTAATGACCCTGGTGTAGTAGATAGACTTTAAACCCCATTAACCAACCAACCAGTCTTAATGACCCTGGTGTAGTAGATAGACTTTAAACCCCATTAACCAACCAACCAGTCTTAATGACCCTGGTGTAGTAGATAGACTTAAACCCCATTAACCATCCAACCAGTCTTAATGACCCTGGTGTAGTAGATAGACTTTAAACCCCATTAACCATCCAACCAGTCTTAATGACCCTGGTGTAGTAGATAGACTTTAAACCCCATTAACCAACCAACCAGTCTTAATGACCCTGGTGTAGTAGATAGACTTTAAACCCCATTAACCATCCAACCAGTCTTAATGACCCTGGTGTAGTAGATAGACTTTAAACCCCATTAACCATCCAACCAGTCTTAATGACCCTGGTGTAGTAGATAGACTTTAAACCCCATTAACCAACCAACCAGTCTTAATGACCCTGGTGTAGTAGATAGACTTTAAACCCCATTAACCAACCAACCAGTCTTAATGACCCTGGTGTAGTAGATAGACTTTAAACCCCATTAACCATCCAACCAGTCTTAATGACCCTGGTGTAGTAGATAGACTTTAAACCCCATTAACCATCCAACCAGTCTTAATGACCCTGGTGTAGTAGATAGACTTTAAACCCCATTAACCAACCAACCAGTCTTAATGACCCTGGTGTAGTAGATAGACTTTAAAACCCCATTAACCATCCAACCAGTCTTAATGACCCTGGTGTAGTAGATAGACTTTAAACCCCATTAACCATCCAACCAGTCTTAATGACCCTGGTGTAGTAGATAGACTTTAAACCCCATTAACCAACCAACCAGTCTTAATGACCCTGGTGTAGTAGATAGACTTTAAACCCCATTAACCAACCAACCAGTCTTAATGACCCTGGTGTAGTAGATAGACTTTAAACCCCATTAACCATCCAACCAGTCTTAATGACCCTGGTGTAGTAGATAGACTTTAAACCCCATTAACCATCCAACCAGTCTTAATGACCCTGGTGTAGTAGATAGACTTTAAACCCCATTAACCAACCAACCAGTCTTAATGACCCTGGTGTAGTAGATAGACTTTAAACCCCATTAACCATCCAACCAGTCTTAATGACCCTGGTGTAGTAGATAGACTTTAAACCCCATTAACCATCCAACCAGTCTTAATGACCCTGGTGTAGTAGATAGACTTTAAACCCCATTAACCAACCAACCAGTCTTAATGACCCTGGTGTAGTAGATAGACTTTAAACCCCATTAACCAACCAACCAGTCTTAATGACCCTGGTGTAGTAGATAGACTTTAAACCCCATTAACCATCCAACCAGTCTTAATGACCCTGGTGTAGTAGATAGACTTTAAACCCCATTAACCATCCAACCAGTCTTAATGACCCTGGTGTAGTAGATAGACTTTAAACCCCATTAACCAACCAACCAGTCTTAATGACCCTGGTGTAGTAGATAGACTTTAAACCCCATTAACCAACCAACCAGTCTTAATGACCCTGGTGTAGTAGATAGACTTTAAACCCCATTAACCATCCAACCAGTCTTAATGACCCTGGTGTAGTAGATAGACTTTAAACCCCATTAACCATCCAACCAGTCTTAATGACCCTGGTGTAGTAGATAGACTTTAAACCCCATTAACCAACCAACCAGTCTTAATGACCCTGGTGTAGTAGATAGACTTTAAACCCCATTAACCAGCCAACCAACCAGTCTTAATGACCCTGGTGTAGTAGATAGACTTTAAACCCCATTAACCAACCAACCAGCCTTAATGACCCTGGTGTAGTAGACAGACTTTAAACCCCATTAACCATCCAACCAGTCTTAATGACCCTGGTGTAGTAGATAGACTTTAAACCCCATTAACCATCCAACCAGTCTTAATGACCCTGGTGTAGTAGATAGACTTTAAACCCCATTAACCAACCAACCAGTCTTAATGACCCTGGTGTAGTAGATAGACTTTAAACCCCATTAACCAGCCAACCAACCAGTCTTAATGACCCTGGTGTAGTAGATAGACTTTAAACCCCATTAACCAACCAACCAGCCTTAATGACCCTGGTGTAGTAGACAGACTTTAAACCCCATTAACCACCTCATACTTCTCAATGTCCTTGGCAAAAGTAAACAGGAAGATGTGGAAAGAATTCATTTCCACTTGAGTAAAGAAGATGTAAATAAATCCAACTATGTCTTCCTTATTCTCGAAGGTCATGACCAGAGTTTGTGATATTTACCTAAGTTACCCATTGAAGGACTCTTAATTAGGGGTTTTAAGGGGTTTAATGGGTATATATACTGGGATATACACCTCTCAGTGTGTATATACTGGGATATACACCTCTCAGTGTGTATATACTGGGATATACACCTCTCAGTGTGTATATACTGAGATCAACACACACACACACACAACTCACCCAACAAATCCCAGCTGCCTGCAGACCAGCTGCCCTAGCTCCTGGGCCGAGCCTCTGGCGTCAACATAGGCCCATTTATCTTGATACCTGACCTGTAATAGGCCTACCCAGGGCCCACGACCTCCACTCAGACGAACAGTCTGTCCCGAGTCAGGAGAACCCACAGTCAACCCTGTCAGAGAGGCATCTTATTAACAATAATGATAATAATAGTGATAAGTACACGTACAAAGTACACTTCTAAGTACACTAATGTACATAAAAACGTAATCTCATATACACAGCAACACTGTTGTGTGTTGTGTGTGAGAGAGAGAGAGAGAGAGAGAGAGAGAGAGAGAGAGAGAGAGAGAGGTAGACAGGCCCCTTGTAGGATCCTGTTGACCTTTGACCTGTCTATTGAGACCTTTTTTTTTGCAATATTTAAGGTCCCTACGAACCTCCTCTCTCTCTCTCTCTCTCTCTCTCTCTCTCTCTCTCTCTCTCTCTCTCTCTCTCTCTCTCTCTGTATCTAACTATCTATTATGTGTCCCTAATTTCGGTTTGACATTCAAGAGAGTATGTGAAAGGGGATCGAACCAGCGGCAACCATGACCAGAGAAAGTGGCTGGTCGATTTCAAGCCACTTGTGAGCCTATAGGCAACGTTAGTTAGGCCTATATTGTCATGCTGGCCCCGGGGCTGTGACTCGACCCCTGGGTACACTTTAAGGAGAGGACACACACACAGGGATATTATTATTTTGTGGATGAGGTTTCTGAAGATGGAAGCGAAATACGTATGTACGTGGGCGTGGGCGTGGGCGTGGGCGTGGGGTGTACTCACCTAATTGTGGTTGCAGGGGTCGAGACTAAGCTCCTGGCCCCGCCTCTTCACTGGTCACTACTAGGTCCTCTCTCTTCCCCTGCTCCATGAGCTTTATCATACCTCATCTTAAAGCTATGTATGGTTCCTGCCTCCACTACATCACTTGCTCACTTGGTGTGTATGTGTGCGTGTGTTGTGTGTGCGTATGCGTACACGTACGTGCACATACGTACATGCCCGTGTCCTTGCCGTGTCATTGACACAAACAGCTGCCTCAGGGCAACGCACTGGCCTTGGAAAACACCAAAACTGTGTTTTTGTCGGGCGGACCAGCTTAACAAACACCTCCACTGTTTTATTGGTTCCAAACACACACACACACACACACACACACACACACACACACACACACACACACACACACACACACACACACACACACACACGCACACACACACACACACACCACACACACACACACACGCACACACACACACAACACACCTACCTACCCTCTTGACCTCTCCATACCTCATCTTCCTCGTGTGTGTGTGTGTGTGTGTGTGTGTGTACTCACCTATTTGTACTCACCTATTTGTGGTTGCAGGGGTCGGGTCTTAGCTCCTGGCCCCGCCTCTTCACCGGTTGCTACTGGGCCCTCTCTCTCCCCGCTCCATGAGCGTGTGTGTGTGTGTGTTTATGTGTGTGTATGTGTGTGTGTACTCAATCATCTTCACAAAAATTAACATCACCTTGTCGTCACCTGACTCCTGCTGTTAGGTGATGGGTTGTATATCCCACACCTACTACTTAAGGTACCCCACTCTTAACTAAGCACAACTACCTCTATTTAACCAGCTCATCTCTCAGAACTACACTGCCTAGTAAATAACAGTGTCAGGCCTGTGTCTACACTGCATCCTCAGTCTTCATAGTCCTATCTGACTGGGAATGCATGATCTGGTATACTTTCAGATAATTTGGTCTCTGGGATAGCTATGATGTGCGGGTTGACTTCCACTTTCCCTTCCTGCAATTCTTAGTGTATATACACTGAGAGACACTTCTCAGTGTATATACATGAAAAATTCACACCTCAGTGTATATATTAAGACACTGAGATACACACCTCACAGTATACATACACAGATATATACACCAGAGCAAACAACAACGGCAGCAGCAGCAGTACAAGACCTTGTGGTACACCACAGTCAGCCAGTCAAGCAAGATCAAGGTCTTGACCCTGACCGTGTGTGTAGAGAGAGAGAGAGAGAGAGAGAGAGAGAGAGAGAGAGAGAGAGAGAGAGAGAGAGAGAGAGAGAGAGAGAGAGAGAGAGAGGGGGAGAGAGAGAGAGAGACAGGGCAGGAGAAGAATAGGATAATTAACCTTGAAAAATCCTGGGGTGTATATTTAAGGAGAGGCGGGATATATACACTGTGAGGTGTATATCTCAGTATATATATATATATATATATATATATATATATAATATTATATATATATATATATATATATGTCGGCCGAATAGGCAGAACTTGCGATCTTGCTTAAATGCAACGCTCATCTGCCATAAAGACAAGTGAAAATTTGTGTATGCAATAATTTCGCCCAAAATCATTCTGAACCTAACGAAAAAATATATTTGATTGTGTTTGTTTAGTATTAAATTATTGTAACGTATTTAAAATCTATTAGTTGGGTTAGGCTAAAATAAATTGCTCTTGTTATAATAAGGTTAGGTAAGTTTTCTAAGATTCTTTTGGTGCAAATTAAATTTCTTTTACATTAACAATAATGAAAAAAATATGTCTTAAACGTATAGAAAAATTTCAGAAAGGACTTAATTTAAATGAGTTCTTGCTAATGACCAGTTTTACATATTCGGCACGACATATAATATATAATAATATATAATATATATATATATATATATATACTATATATAAATATATATATATATATATATATATATATATATATATACGTGTACTCTGTATCAGAGTACACAGTACATTGATAAATTAGACATATGTGCAACACGGGTATCTTTATTGAGGAAACGTTTCGCCACACAGTGGCTTCATCAGTCCATACATAGGAGAAACTTGAAGAACAGGAGGAGTCTGAGGTAATCAGTCCCTCAACCTTGAGTCGATGTGGTCAGTCCATCAATCGTGAAAAGAACACAGCATATGTGCTGTATATGGACTGACTACATCGACCCAATTTATCAATTTTCGGTTCTCTGAACCATACTTCTACCTGGAGTTTACCTGGAGAGAGTTCCGGGGGTCAACGCCCCCGCGGCCCGGTCTGTGACCAGGCCTCCTACACACAGAGCCAGTTCCCAGATAAGATGGGCCCCTAGCAGTAGCTAAAAGTTTTTTCCCATCCCCCAATCCCAAAGGTTCCCCCTGCATGGCAGGATTTGATTAAAATCTTTGAAAACAACCCTTTCCCCCTGGGGTTTAGGGAAACATCGTCTACCCCACTAAGTGCCCTACTATTGGGATTTGGCACCGTGGAAAAGTACTGTTTCTCTGATACAGAGTTTGCAGGTTCGAGCCTGTGTGGACCTAGAGACAAGAGCTGTACAAAGAGGAGGAGAAGGAAATTAGCTCAAGGCGTCCCACCCCCGTATGTCCTTCATGGTGGGTAAACTTGTTTGGCTGGATTGCCTTTGTTAGGATTGTGTGGTTAGGGGTTTAAAAAGTCATGGTTTCTCTCCCATCAGGGGGGCCCAAAATGATGGGTTCGACTCTTGGCTATGCATGTTGTTATTGATATTTATTTAATATATTATATATATATTATATATATATATATATTTTATATTTTTATATTTAAAATTATTATATATATATATCGGAAATTCCCGCACTTGTTATTATTAGTAGTATTTGTTTAGTACTTTTTTTTACGATGTGTAAACACCAACCCCCCACACACACACACACCCCCAAACACACACCCACACACACCCACACACAACCCACAAACACACACCCAACACACACACACAAAACCCACCACCACACACACACACACCCACACCACACCCACAACCACCCCCACAACCACCACACACACCCCCCCCCCAACACACACACAACACCCACACACACCACACACAAAAAACCACCCAACCCACACACACACCCCACAAACCCCAAACCCCACAACCACACACACCCCAACAACCACACACACAACACCCCACCCCAACACCACACCCCCCACACACCACCCCACCCACACACCACACACACACCACACAACACACACACACAAACACACCCCACACACACAACCAACACACACACCACACAACACACACACACACCCACCACACAACACCCCACACACACACAACACACACACACACACACCCCCACACACCCACACACCACACACACCACACACCACACACCACACACACACACCCCACAAACACACCACACACACACACACACACACACCACACACACCCACACACACACACCACAACCACACACCCCCACACACACACACACACAAAACCCACACCCACCACACACAACCCACACACAACCCCACACACACACACCACACACACACACAACACACAAACACAAAACACACCACCACACACACACCACACCCACAACAACCACACACACACCACCACACCAAAACCCCAACACACACACACACACAACACCCACAACACACAAAACACACACACACCCCACCCCCACACACACACACACCCCCCAAAAACCCCACACACACACACACCACAACCCACCACACCCCCCCAAAACCCCCACACAAAAACCACACACACCACACACCCCACCAACACACACACACAAAAAACACGTCCCACACAAGAGATTGTGAAAAAAACTGGAGGCCCAAAGCAGGGAAAAAGGGGGAAGGGCACTAAATGGATCAGGGAAACTTGTCAGGAAGACAGCAGCGAGCAGGGTACGTGGCGAGGTGTCAGAGGGGGGCACCTGTGCCCACGGGGTCGCACGGGGGGCAGCCCTAGGGACCAGTGCTGTTTTGGTATTTGGAACGACATGGGGAAGGAATAAACTGAGGTGTCACGTTTGCAGATGACGTGAATTATGAAAGAATTCACTCGATCGAAGAACAGGGAACTAAAAGGGTCGGGACAGGCGCAGCCCTTGGTTCAGCAATTGGCTCCTGGAGTTCAACCCCACCAAGTGCAAAGTATGAGATTGGGGAAGTGCAAAGAAGACGCAGATGGAGTACAGTCTAGGGAATCAGAGATACAAACCCACTCAAGGAAAAAAGTTTTGGGGGGTGAGTATAACACCAGGCACACTCCTAACCACATCAACCAAATAACTGCT